ATTGGCCCAATGGGTAACTTTTTTACTCACCTTCACCAAAGTGACGGGGGAGCTTTTGTGATCGCTTTCGTCCGGCGTCCGTCCGTCGTCCGTCCGTCGTCCGTCCATACGTAAAACTTTTACTTTAAATGACATCTCCTCATAAAACCACTAAGCCAATTATCCAACTTCACAGAAATGTTCCTTTGGTGGTCACCTTTAAAAATTGTTCAAAGAATTTAATTCCATGCAGAACTCTGGTTGCCATGGCAACCGAAAGAAAAAACTTTAAATATCTTCTTTTAAAAAACCATAAGAGCTAGAGCTTAGATATTTGGCATGAAACATCTTCTAGTGAGTGTCTACCAAGTTTGTTCAAATAAAAGCCCTGGGGTTAAAATTGGCCCCGCCCCGGGGGGTCATTGATTTTCCCTATATGCATATAGTAAAAACTTAAAAAATCTTCTTTTAAAGAACCCAAAGAGCTAGAGCTAAGATATTTAGCATGAAACATGTTCTAATGGGTATCTACCAAGTTTGTTCAAATAAAAGCCCTGGGGTCAAAATTGGCCCCGCCCCGGGGGTCATTGATTTTCCCTATATGCATATAGTAAAAACTTAAAAAATCTTCTTTTAAAGAACTCAAAGAGCTATGGCTAAGATATTGAGCATCAAACATGTTCTAATAGGTGTCTACCAAGTTTGTTCAAATAAAAGCCTTGGGGTCAAAATTGGCCCCGCCCCAGGGGTCATTGTTTTTTCCTATGTGCATATAGTAAAAAAATTAAAAAATCTTCTTTTAAAGAACCAAAAGAGTTAGAGCTAAGATATTTAGCATGAAACATGTTCTAATAAGTGTCTACCAAGTTTGTCCAAATAAAAGCCCTGGGGTCAAAATTGGCCCCGCCCCAGGGGGTCATTGATTTTCCCCTCTATGCATATAGTAAAAACTTAAAAAATCTTCTTTTTAAGAACTCAAAGAGCTATGGCTAAGATATTAAGCATGAAACATGTTCTAATAGGTGTCTACCAAGTTTGTTCAAGTAAAAGACCAGGGGTCAAAATTGGCCCCGCTCCAGGGGTCATTGATTTTCTTTATATGTGTATAGCAAAAACTTAAAATCTTTGGAAAAACCCAAATAGCTAGAGTTTAGATATTAAGCATGAAACATCTTCTAGTAAGTGTCTACAAAGTTTGTTCAAATAAAAGCCCTGGGGTCAAAACTGGCCCGGCCCCAGGGGCCATTGTTTTTAACTATATGTGTATAGTAAAAACTTAAAAAAAATCTTCTTTTAAAAAGCCCAATGAGCTAGAGCTTAGATGTTTAGCATGAAACATCTTCTTATGGGTGTCTACCAAGTTTGTGCAAATAAAAGCCCTTGGGTTAAATTGGCCCTGCAACGTTTGGGGGGGGGGGGTTGGTGGGGCCTATATACAGGTGAGTGACCTCAGGGCCATCATGGCCCTCTTGTTAAAAATTATAACTGGACACCAAAAATAAATGCTTTTGAAAAATAAAAGTATATTTGGGGGCATTAAGGGCATTTAAGTAGGTTTATATATTAAAATATCTACACAGTCACAGATAAAATGTTTTTATATGTCATAATTGTAAAAGTCATGATTTAGTGTCAGTATTATGAAATATTATGCCAAACTATTCATTGCTTATGTTAATATACCGAAATTTTTACATACATATTCTTGAAAATCATTTTTCAATTTCCGTTTTATTTATATATATAAATTTTTAATGTTATTCATTTATAGGTGGTAAGAAAAAGTGACAAAGATCAGGTTACAGTTATTGGTTGTTGTGTCACTCTAAAAGAGGCCATGCTAGCTGCAGATAAACTAGCTATAGATGGTGTCAACATTAGAATCATTGATCCATTTACATTGAAACCATTTGATAAAGATACTGTGCTAGCTAATGCACGTGAAACTGGAGGTAAAATAATTACTGTGGAGGACCATTATTCAGAGGGTAAGTACATTTACTGTACAGGGCACTCGTTTGGCCATTTTTGGGGCCCATTCCGCTTTCAAAATCATATGTTTTTTCCCCCTATTTCAGTAAAACATTCCCCTCAAAGAAAAAAATTTTAGTGTTAGGCCTAATGTTTGATATTTAAGAAAAAGGTGATGTTGTGATTTCATAAGAATAAAATATATTTCTGTTTAACTTTCAATGGATTGAAAGTCAACAACGCTGTATGTTAAAACCGAAAGTAGCAGGAAGTGAGAAATGTACAGAAGGGAGGTAACTCCCGTAAAATTATTTGTAAAATTAATGTGGCAGATAATCATAGTAGAAGTTTTCCTTATATTCAATTTGTTTAGAAAAGACATACATTGTCATTCTTCTGCTAGAAAATAAACAAAACTATTTTAATATCTGTCAGTTGTTGTTGGAAAAAACGTATTTCTCCCTTTCTATTTGCTGTTTTGTACTCAAATATTTTCGTACCAAAATTTTCGTACCCTGAGTTTTACAGTTACAGACAATTTCCTCTAAAACAAATACCTTTCTCAGAAAAGGCATAAAACTTTCTTGTTTACTTTTAGTTAATTCTTATTATGCCCCCATTTTGAAAAAAAGGGGGTATATTGCTTTGCACTTGTCGGTCCGTCGGTCCGTCGGTCCGTAGACCAAATGGTTTCCGAGTGATAACTAAAGAACCTTTAGGCCTAGGAACTTCAAACTTGGTATGGTGATTGGTCATGACCAGTAGATGAACCCTATTGATTTTGGGGTCAAGGGGTCAAAGGTCAAGGTCACATTGACCTTGAAAGCAAAAATGGTTTCCGATCAATAACTAAAGAACCTTAAGGCCTAGGAACTTCAAACTTGGTATGGTGATTGATCATGACCAGTAGATGACCCCTATTGATTTTGGGGTCAAGGGGTCAAAGGTCAAGGTCACATTGACCTTGAAAGCAAAAACGGTTTCCGATCAATAACTAAAGAACCTTAAGGCCTAGGAACTTCAAACTTGGTATGGTGATTGGTCATGACCAGTAGATGACCCCTATTGATTTTGGAGTCAAGGGGTCAAAGGTCAAGGTCACATTGACCTTGAAAGCAAAAACAGTTTCCGATCAATAACTAAAGAACCTTAAGGCCTAGGAACTTCAAAACTTGGTATGGTGATTAGTCATGACCAGTAGATGACCCCTATTGATTTTGGGGTCAAGGGGTCAAAGGTCAAGGTCACATTGACCTTAAAAGCAAAAACGGTTTCCGATCAATAACTAAAGAACCTTAAGGCCTAGGAATTTCAAACTTGGTATGGTGATTGGTCATGATCAGTAGATGACCCCTATTGATTTTGGGGTCAAGGGGTCAAAGGTCAAGGTCACATTGACCTTGTAGGTAAAAACGGTTTCCGATCAATACCTAAAGAACCTTAAGGCTTAGGAACATTAAACTTGGTATGGTGATTGGTCATGATCAGTAAATGACCCCTATTGATTTTGGGGTCAAGGGGTCAAAGGTCAAGGTCACATTGACCTTGTAGGTAAAAACGGTTTCCGATCAATACCTAAAGAACCTTAAGGCCTAGGAACTTTAAACTTGGTATGGTGATTGGTCATGATCAGTAGATGACCCGTATAGATTTTGGGGTCAAGGGGTCAAAGGTCAAGGTCACATTGACCTTTTAATTAAAAACGGTTTCTGATCAAATAAAAAAGAACCCTTAGGCCTAGGAAATTCAAACTTGGTATGGTGAATGGTTATGACCAATCAGATGACCCCTATTGATTTTGGCGTTAAGGGGTCAAAGGTCAAGGTCACATTGACCTTGTAGGTAAAAACGGTTTCCGATCAATAATGAAAGAACCCTTAGGCCTAGGTACTTCAAACTTGAGATTGTGATTGGTCATGATCAGTAGATGACCCCTATTGATTTTGGGGTCAAGGGGTCAAAGGTCAAGGTCACATTGACCTTAAAAGCAAAAACGGTTTCCGATCAAAAACTAAAGAACCTTAAGGCCTAGGAATTTCAAACTTGGTATGGTGATTGGTCATGATCAGTAGATGACCCCTATTGATTTTGGGGTCAAGGGGTCAAAGGTCAAGGTCACATTGACCTTGTAGGTAAAAACGGTTTCCGATCAATACCTAAAGAACCTTAAGGCTTAGGAACATTAAACTTGGTATGGTGATTGGTCATGATCAGTAAATGACCCCTATTGATTTTGGGGTCAAGGGGTCAAAGGTCAAGGTCACATTGACCTTGTACATAAAAAACGGTTTCCGATCAATAACTAAAGAACCTTAAGGCCTAGGAACTTCAAACTTGGTATGGTGATTGGTCATGATCAGTAGATGACCCGTATAGATTTTGGGGTCAAGGGGTCAAAGGTCAAGGTCACATTGACCTTTTAATTAAAAACGGTTTCTGATCAATAACAAAAGAACCCTTAGGCCTAGGAACTTCAAACTTGGTATGGTGAATGGTTATGACCAATCAGATGACCCCTATTGATTTTGGCGTTAAGGGGTCAAAGGTCAAGGTCACATTGACCTTGTAGGTAAAAACGGTTTCCGATCAATAATGAAAGAACCCTTAGGCCTAGGGACTTCAAACTTGAGATTGTGATTGGTCATGATCAGTAGATGACCCCTATTGATTTTGGGGTCTAGGGGTCAAAGGTCAAGGTCACATTGACCTTGTAGGTAAAAATGCTTTCGGATCAATAACTTAAGAACCCTTATGCCTAGGAACTTCAAACTTGGTATGGTGATTGGTCATGACCAGCAGATGACCTATTGATTTTGGGGTCAAAGGTCAAGGTCACATTGACCTTGAAGGTAAAAACGGTTTCTGATCAATTAACTAAAAACGCTTAGGCCTAGGAACTTCAAACTTTGTGTGATGATTGGTCATGACCAGCAGATGACCCCTATTGAGTTTTAGGTGAAGGGGTCAAAGGTCAAGGTCACATTGACCTTTTAAGTAAAAACGGTTTCTGATCAATAACTCAAGAACGCTTAGGCCTAGGAACTTCAAACTTGGTATGGTGATTTGTCATGACCAGCAGATTACTCCTATTGATTTTGGGATCAAGGGGTCAAAGGTCAAGGTCACAATGACCTTGTAAGTAAAAACGGTTTCTGATCAATAACTCAAGAACGCTTAGGCCTAGGAACTTCAAACTTGGTATGGTGATTTGTCATGACCAGCAGATTACTCCTATTGATTTTGGGATCAAGGGGTCAAAGGTCAAGGTCACAATGACCTTGTAAGTAAAAACGGTTTCTGATCAATAACTAAAGAACGCTTCGGCCTAGAAACTTCAAACTTGGCATGGTGATTGGTCATGACCAGCAGTTGACCCCTATTGATTTTGGGGTCAAAGGTCAAGGTCACATTGACCTTGTATGTTAAAACAGTTTCCGATCAATAATAAGAGAACGCTTAGGCCTAAGAACTTCAAACTTGGCATGGTGATTGGTCATGACCAGCAGATGACCCCTATTGATTTTGGGGTCAAGGGGTCAAAGGTCAAGGTCACATTGACCTTGTAGGTAAAAACGGTTTCTGATCAATTTACTAAAAACGCCTAGGCCTAGGAACTTCAAACTTTGTATGATGATTGGTCGTGACCAGCAGATGACCCCTATTGAGTTTTGGGTCAAGGGGTCAAAGGTCAAGGTCATGACCAGTAGATACTTTATAACCCTTATTAATTGTTTGATCACTGGGTCAGACGTCATGCATAATAACCTTATCACATGACTAATTGGCTGCTGATAGGGGGCATACATGTTTTACAAACATATCTTGTTTCAATTTTCATTGTTATGCCCCCACAGAGTGGGAGCATATAGCGTTGCACTTGTCCGTCCGAGTGTCCGTCCGTCCGTCCGTATGTCCGAGCCAACATTTGATTATTATGAGCTTCATTCCGTAGTTAAATAAAGAACATAAACTCATAAAATTTAAAATTAAGAGTTTTTTTTTGTTTTTATGAGCTTATTTTGCTTATGGACGTTGGTCCAGGTGGTGTTTATGAGCTCATTTGCCTCATAAACATCAAATTTTGGTACGTCCGTCCGTACGTCTGTCCGTACGTCCAAAAATCTTGTGAACGCAACTCCTCTTAAACCGGATGGCAGATTTTGCTTAAACTTCCAGGGATGAACAACCTTAATGTGTAGATGGTATTAAAGGAAGGAATTTTTGCTGCGACCAAATTTAACAGAATTATGGCCCTTTGTTAATTTTTTCACTATATACTATGTAGAAATTTTGTGAACGCAACTCCTCTTAAACCGGATGGCAGATTTTGCTTAAACTTCCAGCGATGAACAACCTTAATGTGTAGATGGTAGTAAAGGAAGGAATTTTTGCTGCGACCAAATTTAACAGAATTATGGCCCTTTGTTGATTTTGTTCACTATATACTATTTAGAAATTTTGTGAACGCAACTCCTCTTAAACCGGATGGCAGATTTTGCTTAAACTTCCAGGGATGAACAACCTTAATGTGTAGATGGTAGTAAAGGAAGGAATTTCCGCTGCAACCAAATTTAACAGAATTATGGCTCTTTGTTGATTTTTTCACTATTTACTCTGTAGAAATTTTGTGAACGCAACTCCTTCTAAACCGGATGGCAGATTTTGCTTAAACTTCCAGGGATGAACAACCTTAATGTGTAGATGGTAGTTAAGGAAGGAATTTTTGCTGCGACCAAATTTAACAGAATTATGGCCCTTTGTTGATTTTTAGTTTTCAACTTGTGGCACATGTAGTCCAAAAAATATTTGACCTAGAGTCATAAGATTGACAGAACAGTGGCGTGTGGGGGCATCTGTGTCCTATGGACACATTTCTAGTTATAATTGTTTTAATCTAAAGAACATGCAAAAATATGTAGAAAATAGATAAGAACTGACCAGTGCTTCAGATTGCAAAATAGTGTGATACATTTTTAACATTAAAAATAAGAAAACATTTATGACTAAAATAGGAAATAATTTTGCTGTGTTTTCAACATACCCTTGCCTAGGAAAGTCTGCCTCTCCAGAGCTTGTTGCACTGAATCAATATTTTTCGTACAAGTTTTTTTTTTTTTTTTAAAAACAACAAAAGCAACTGTCAGTTTGAATTTTTTATCATAAACAAAAATGCAATATGCTTGTTATAGATTTTAATTTACCCCTTACGTTTTTCAGAATTTGCATTTTACCCCTCACTTTAGAATTCGAGGGGTATAAAACCATTGGCTAAAAACATGTATCTGAAGCTCTGATTGATGTCTGAGTCAGTCAAATGCAATAAGAAAACAATAAAGATTACAGTGAGATAGCCTACATCAAGAACAACTTCATGTTATATGTTTTATTTGATAGGTCTATAGTAATAAATATACTAGCAGTTGTAAGTAATGGTAGAAAATAGTGCCAAGAGTTAGTCTAAAACTTAAATTTAAAGAACTCATATATGACTTAAATTCCTCTTTTTGTCTTAAAATGACGCAAAATTCCCCTTCCTGAGGGTATGGGTACATGTCCCCAAAAGTTGTCTAGTGCCCTGCTGTATTGCCTAAAAGAAAAAAGAATATCAAGTATCAAAGCCCTTTATTCTGAAAGGATTGCTATTGAGGTCCAAATGCCTAAAAACATGAATTTTGAAATCCACTGGAAGATTGGAAATTGGGGAAAAATGCAAAAGAAAATGAAGAAATATACATTGGTACTCAGAATTTAATTGAAATCAAATGTAAAATATAATGAAGAAATATAGTCCATTGTGGTTAAATGTATTTATACAATTTTCATTTTGCACAATTAAAATATTGATATACATGTTTATTCTTAAAAAATGATCTGAAATTATTTAATTGAAGTTACTAGTTCAGATCAAATTTGACTTTTTAGGAGATGTCTATTGCCAAGCGGTTAAGGCCCTTTACTTCAGACCACTTCCCTCTCACCACTGTAGGTTTGAGTTGCCCAAATGTCATCGGATTTTACAAGTCGGAAAACTATCCATCTAGCTGATAAGTGTCACACAGTTTGTGCCTGAAATAATGTACAGAGGGGCAACTGAGGTCTTCCTCCACAAGTATAGCTGGAATGTCGCCATATAATCTAAACTGTGTTGGTGTGATGTAAAACCCCATTCCCACCCCCACCATCCTCCTCCCCCCCCCTTCGAAAAAAAAAAAACCAACAAAAAATTGGGTTCAGACTATGGATATTTCACATTGTTTAGGTGATATCTGTAGTTTATCACAATGAATGTAAATTAATAGCATAAAATAATTTGCATAAAGTAAATAGAATAGAATATATTCTATCAATGAAATAATTGTCATATTTTATTGTGAAAGTTTATTTTTTATCCCCCGCCGATGGAATCGGGAGGGGGATATAGTTTTGGCGTTGTCCATCCGTCCGTCCGTCCGTCCGAATTTCGTTTCCAGAGTAGTTCTCTGCAACTACTGGCTGGAATTCAACGAAACTTTATGGGAATCATCAATATCAAGAGGAGATGCGCATCTGACCGTCCGTTCGTCCGTACGTCCGAATTTCGTTTCCAGAGTAGTTCTCTGCAACTACTGGCTGGAATTCAACGAAACTTTATGGGAATCATCAATATCAAGAGGAGATGCGCATATCGTCAGCTTGTTCCGGTCGGACACTTTAACTCAGAGTTATTGCCCTTGATTAGTTATGTAGTATGCATATAGAGTAAAAATCGTTTCCGCGCTACTTCCCTGCAACTACTGGCTGGAATTCAATGAAACTTTATGGGAATCATCAATACCAAGAGGAGATGCGCATATCATCGGCTTGTTCCGGTCAGACACTTTAACTCAGAGTTATGGCCCTTGATTAGTTATGCAGTATGCATATGGAGTAAAAATCGTTTCCGCGCTACTTCTCTGCAACTACTGGCTGGAATTCAACGAAACTTTATGGGAACCTTCAATACCAAGAGGAGATGCACAACGTCGGCTTGTTCGGGTCAGACACTTTAAGTCAGAGTTATGGCCCTTGATAAGTTATGCAATATGCATATGGAGTAAAAATCATTTCCGGAGTATTTCTCTGCAACTACTGGCTGGAATTCAACGAAACTTTATGGGAATCATCAATATCAAGAGGAGATGCGCATATCGTCGGCTTGTCCCGGTCAGACCCTTTAACTCAGAGTTATGGCCCTTGATTAGTTATGTAGTATGCATATAGAGTAAAAATCGTTTCCGCCCTACTTCTCTGCAACTACTGGCTGGAATTCAACAAAACTTTATGGGAACCTTCAATACCAAGAGGAGATGCGCATATCATCGGCTTGTTCCGTTCAGACACTTTAACTCAGAGTTATGGCCCTTGATTAGTTATGCAGTATCCATATAGAAAAATATTTGTTTTCTCGCTACTTCTCTGCTACCACCGGCTGGAATTCAATGAAACTATGGGGTACTAAGACGAGATGTGCATATAGTCGCCTTGTTCCAGTCAGATACTTATAACTCAGATTTATGGCCCTTGATTAGTTATGTAATATGCATAAATCTCATTGGCATTTCCAGATTTTACTATTTAACACAAAGTTATGGCTCTGTTATTTCCCTGAATATTTATCAAGTTCAAAGAATATTACTGTTTATGCCATGATTAATATATAAATAAAGCCTTATGTCTTCAGTTGTTGTGTAAATAATAACCAGTACTCGGCGGGGGATATAAATTCAACGAATTTGCTTGTTTGTATTTCAGGAGGTCTTGGAGATACAGTGGCTGGCGCCCTCTGTGAAGAGAAAGATATAACCATCAAGAAGTTGGCCGTTACAGAAATACCACGTAGTGGTAAACCAGCAGAACTGATGGAAAAATATGGAATCAGTGCCAACTGTATTGTTAAAGCTGTGAACCAGGCTCTATGATCATAGATTGAAAACATTTAACCAGTCTATAGTGGCGGAAATAACAAAAGTACAATAATTGTTCCAAATTTCAGGCATTAATTAGACATAACTTTAGGTTTATTATTAGAATTTCTAGCATCGAAAGTCAAGGCAGTAACAGCTCTTTTGTTATTGTAATAGTTTTTAAAGAGACCTATACAAAAGTTGTTTCCAATTGTTTTGGGTTAAACTAAATAGTTGTGAATTAATAAGCAATAAAAGCAACAATTCCTTGTTTTTAATTTCTCTTATTGATTTTACTGTATCTGTTATATAGCTAATATTTGCTGTAGTGCTTTTTAATAACATGTTGTTTTTGTATTGATCTTTTTTTCTTCCATTTATAAAGGTATTATAAACAGATTTCTGTATTGTTACATGTTTTTGGTGCACTTATTTTTAATAGTATTTTGCAGTTGCATTGTTGAATTGATAGATGTTTATTAGCCATGGCTAGAATGAAAATACAATCATTTACTTATTAGGTGTATAAATCTTGCTATAAATGTTTTTAGTTTTCAGATAGAATACTATATTATGGTAAAACTTGTTCATGAAATTAGTTCCCACTAACAGTGGAATGAAAAAATCCATTATTGATCATAATTGTATGATGAAATAAAGAAAGAATATATATTTTGATTTAAAGGAGTTAAATAGTAAAAGTTTGTTGGCACTTTGTTGTAATGATGTATTTATATAAAATATTCCTAATAAAACATTTAGCTGTAACGAGAATGATCCACAAGTTGAATTTTCTTAACAATGACTATTTTAGATATCCATTTGCCTCATATTTATATGCGGAATGGTTTTTTAATTGTCATATCAATGTTTTGAAGGACAAAACGTCAAATAAATGTAACCTCATAGTTTTGTGTTTTAATGTTATTTTTAGCTCACCTGTCACATAGTGACATGGTGAGCTTTTGTGATCGCTTTTCATCCGGCATCCATCCGGCCGTAAACTTTACTTTAAACCACATCTCCTCATAAACCACTAAGCCAATTTCATCCAAACTTCACAGGAATGTCCCTTTGGTGGTCACCTTAAACATTTGTTCAAAGAATTTAATTCCATGTAGAACTCTGGTTGCCATGGCAACCAAAAATAAACAAACTTAAAATATCTTCTTTTAGAAAATCAAAAGTGGTAGAGCTTACATATTTGGAATTAAACATCTTCTAGTTTGTGTCTATCAAGTTTGTTCGAATAAAATCCCTGGGGTCAATTTGGTCCCAACCCGGGGGGAGGGGGTCATTGAGTTTTCTTATATGTATATAGTAAAAACTTAAAAAATCTTGTAGAAAACCCAAAGAGCTAAAACTTAGATATTAAGCATGAAACATCTTTTGATGAGTATCTACAAAGTTTGTTCAAATAAAAGCCCTGGGATCAAAATTGGCCCCATCCTGGGGGTACTGATTTTCCTTATATGTCTATAGTAAAAACTTTAAAAAATTTCTTTTAAATAACCCATAGGTCTAGAGCTAGAGTTTAGATATTAAGCATGAAACACATAGTGAGTGTCTAACAATTTTGGCAAATTAAAGCCCCAGGGTTAAATAGGCTCCGGACGGGGGTCTGATTTTCAATACATGTCTATAGTTAAAACCTAAAGAATCTTCTTTAAAAAAAAACAAAAGAGCAAGGCCATAGACATTAAGCATGAAACATATTCAAATGGATGTCTACAAAGTTTGTCCAAATAAAAGCCCTTGGGTCAAAATTAGCCCGGCAGCAGGGGGTCATTGATTTTCCTTATATTTACATGTTTATAGTTAAAATTTAAAAACTCTTTTTGTGAAAATTCAAAAGAGCTGGAGCTTAGATATTTTGCATAAAGGATGTCTACCAAGATTGTTCAAATGAAAGCCCTAGGGTCAAAATTGGCCCGGCCCCAGGGGTCATTGATTTTCCTTATATGTACTGTATTTTTCGCGATGTTTTAATTTTGGCTTGAAAGGGGCTCCACTTAAACTTTTTGTCCTATTTCTCAGGTGAGCGATCCAGGGCCCTCGAGCCCTCTTGTTAATTTATATTTAGTTAATTAAGCATTCTCTGACTACAACCAATAAGTAGGAATCACTTTCACCTACAGTTACAAGATTTGGTTTGGAGGTTCGTCATGACTAGAAGATGACCCTTTTGATTTTGAGGTGTCAGAAAGTCAAAGGCTTATCACCATGACCAGAATTCAATTCAATTTGCCATACAGTCATAAAATTTGTTGATCCTTAGTAGTAGATGACCCCTATTGATTTTAAGGTTAGTGGGTCAGTCATCATGACACTGATCATTAAAAGTGTGTCTAACCATTAATTAGGGAACACTAGCTTACAGTACCAAGATCTGGTGTTAAAGTTGGACTTGACTAGTGGAAAATCCCATTTTAAGGTCAATAGGTTTAGGTCACCGTGGGTTTAGACTAAAACTGGTCTGACCAATAAGTTGACTACTTAAATATTGTGATAAACAAGTAAAGAACGCTTTGATCTAAAGCACTTTGATTTTGAAGTCATGAGGTCTAGGTTACTGTTGTCTTGACTAAAAGCTTGTCCGACCGATAACTTGACCACTAAAACATTGTCGATGTATAGAAAACTTTTGACTTACGTCCTATAATTGGTGGTGAAAGTTGAACATGGCTGCGAGATGACCCTTCTTGTTTTTTAAGGTCAACTATATATATGTGGGTGTGAAGGTTGGTCATTAGTAGAAGATGATTTAAATTATGATGCCAAAGATCAAGATCACCATTGCATATAGAATGCTTAAGCCTTTAGTCTTAACATTTGGTGTTGAAGGGTAAATGTCACTAAAAAAAATCCTTGTCTGACTAACAAGTAGGGACTGCTTTGACCTACAATCGGTGGTTGGTCATCACTAGTGGATTATCCCTATTGATTTAAAGGTCATTAGGTCAAAAGACAAGGTCACAGTGGCACTATGTGCAAAATCCTTGTCATATCAGTCACTTTATAAACTTGCTATATTTGAAACTTAGTTGTGACATTGCTCATATTAGAAGATGCATGCTATTGATAATGAATGTATATAGTCGTTGTGTCAAAGGTTAAGGTCACATTGAGATTGTCTAATCCTAAGCAATAATTTTTATCAGTCATCACTTTGACCAAAGCGGTGAGACAATTTTCAGTGACTGAAGCATTTGTCGCATGCAGAAACCGATGTAAAATGTGGCTTCCAGGTAAGCCTGTTGATGGTTTTTGTGTTTACTGCAACACAGTTCTTAGCTACAACATGCTATAAAGTGACTGCAACATATGAGGAACAATGGTCAATCAACTGATTAATTGCCTATCATCAGAGGACACTGATCGCTCTTCTTTATAACATAAGGTTGTTAAATTTTACCCATATTTTTAGTGTTTTATTACATATTCACATTTAAGTCTTAATTCTAGATTCTATAATCTTTGATGAATTAAGTACTGTCTTTTCAACACTATCCAAGTCAAAGGCGGCCCGACATATAACATGTTACTGTCAGCTATCTACTTTTTTCTGATAATTTTTATTTTGTGACTGTTTAAGCTACAGTCTCACTTACATAATGAATGAGTACAAGATCCCTCACGTCTCCCAGCACCGGCTTGAGCGGTACTCAATTCTCAACACTTAATAGTGCTGGCATCAATGACCCAAAAGGACCAGAAAAATATTACAACACTGAACTTTTTATAGCTGCCCCGGAGGATACCCTTCCAATTACCCTTCTATCCAGTTTTGCATAAGGATTTTTCAGAAAATCATCATTAATTACAGTTCTGGAACAATGGATTTTATATTAAATAAAAATTATGTATCAATGTAATCATTTTCGCGCGTTTTTAATTCACCGGGGCTCTGTCTGGATCGTCCTGGACTCTGCCTGGATCGACCGGGGCTCTGCCTGGGTCAACTGGGGCTCTTCCGGCGTCATCCGGGAACGTAGCTTCACATGGGCTCTGCCTGGATGGTCTGGAGTGCATCCTGGGTGGTTAGTTGGGAATTACCGTAGTGCTGCCGGGGTAAGTGTGACCGCAACAATAATTTCATCCCGGATCTTCCCTGATCATCCCAGTAACTTACCGGGGAGCGGGAGTAAGTGAGACCGCAACTTTAAATAGTCCACTTTAAAAACCTGGTAGTACTCCTTCCGCCTAGAGAATGCACGCTAAACAACTTTTTAAATCATCATAAAACATACAAAACTACACAGAAGCAATTAATGCACTTGAAATATAAATCAATCAAACTAGGGATGACATAAATTGGGCCATTTTGAAGAACAATTTTGTATCGTGGTGACAAGGCGAGAATAGACGCAGTCCAGTCGGAGCTGATGATGAAATCTTTTAAACTATTAATATACTGTTTATAATTTACAAGCAGTAAATATAAATGTCCATCACACACAATTTAGTATTGTAAAAGTTAAACATAAATGTTTGACGTTCATATAGCAGACCAGTATGTTAGTAAACTTCAGTAATAAAAAAGTAAGTCAACCGATTTTAAGCTGCCCTTTCTTGGGAGGTTGGAGGCAGAGTCATGTAGATGTGCCCTCGGCCGTCACCCTGTCCGTTCGTCCATGTAGACTAAGAGGGCATTTGTGTCCTGTGGACACATTTCTAGTTTTCTTATAACTTTGTAAAGATCTACATGTGACTTTAAGAAGACTTTTTTTCTTCTTCTTTTTGTGTACTTTTAATATTATGTTTATCAATATATGAGCCGCGTCACGACAAAACCAACATAATGGGTTTGCGACCAGCATGGATCCAGACCAGCCTGCGCATCCGCGCAGTCTGATCAGGATCCATGCTGTTCGCTAACCAACTCTATTACAAGTAAAGAAACTGATAGCGAACAGCATGGATCCTGATCAGACTGCGCGGAAGCGCAGGCTGGTCTGGATCCATGCTGGTCGCAAATGCACTATGTTGGTTTTGTCGTGACGCGGCTCACACATATAGCCACTATTTTACAGTTTCAAGTGGGTACTTGAAACTATTGTATATATGTCAACACAGCATCCTTCCGCATTGTCCTGAAAATACGGATGTGTACATTGTTTGTTTGTTGCAAAATTACAAATGTTGGATAAAAATGATTTTTTTTCTTGAGCTGAATATTTATTAATTTCCGAGAGGTTGATTATTAAAGCGACAGTTTTTTCTTCTTTTTTTTGGAGTAAATTTCGTTCCTTTTCTATGAGTGTTAATTAAACGGATCTTGAAATCAAATCCTTTCGAAAGTAATGACTGCGTTATTGCAGTGCTTAGAAAATAACTTTTGAAATAAAACTGGAATTTATAAATATATAACTCTAAAAAAAGAAAAGAAAATAAGAACGATAAGTCATGTCGACAATCGTACCTGAAAATGTGTCGTATGCTCACAATTCAACCGATGCAGCAGCTTACGACAGAAGTAATGTAACGATGACGTCACCAGAAACGACTGCAATATCCACAGCGGTAACGGAGACCAAGACCAAACCCGTAACTGGAACAACGACAGTAGAAAACAAAGGCACACATTTTACAAAACAAACTAAAACAACAAGTACGGTACGACCAAGTACAAAAACGAATAATGTTCACACTAAAAGAACGACAAAAGAACAAATTGGAACAACTACTACTAAAGTAACAACTAATGCATCATCTACTACCATAGGAGTCTTCACAGATGTAACCTCTACTAGAGTGTCACATCCGGTTATACAAAAAAGTACTACCTTTAGAAGGACCACAAATGACAACATTTCAACTAAGTTTCCTTCCTGTAAGTTTACAAGTGAATTTCATTATTCAGTTACGGTCTCATGGTTACATAACTTCACTTTAACTATATGAATTATTATCAAATAAAAGGGTCTTGAAAATTCGACATTTGTGGCTACTTTTTGTGTTTTATATAGTCGATATTAATAATGTAAAACATCATGACACATCATGACAACACATTTTACTTGTTCGACTTTAATACGTCTTCATATTGTAGTATGTACATGTATTTTATAGTAAAATCTTGTTATTCGGTAATAAAAAAATTTATATTTAGCGGTCGACAAGTATTTTATAGTAAAATCTTGTTATTCGGTAATAAGATAATATATTTAGCGGTCGAAAAGTATTCTATAGTAAAATCTTGTTAATCGGTAATAAGATAATATATTTAGCGGTATACAAGTATTCTATAGTTAAATCTTGTTATTCGGTAATTGTATAATTTATTATAAGCGGTCGACGAGTATTCTATAGTAAAATCTTGTTATTCGGTAATAAGATAATATATTTAGCGGTAGACGTGAATTCTATAGTAAAATCTTGTTAATCGGTAATTATATAATATATTAAGCGGACTACATATTATTCTATAGTAAAATCTTGTTATTCGGTAATTAGATAATAGAATGTTTAATACATGTATTATATAGTAAAATCTTGTTAATCTCTAATAAGATAATAGATTCAGTGGACGACAAGTATTCTATAGTAAAATCTTGTTATTCGGTAATAAAATAATATATTTAGCGGTCGACAAGTATTCTATAGTAAAATCTTGTTATTCGGTAATAAGATATGATATATTTAGCGGTCGAAAAGTATTCCATAGTAAAATCTTGTTAATCGGTAATAAGATAATATATTTAGCGGTCGACAAGTATTCTATAGTTAAATCTTGTTATTCGGTAATTGTATAATATATTATAAGCGGTCGACGAGTATTCTATAGTAAAATCTTGTTATTCGGTAATAAGATAATATATTTAGCAGTCGAAAAGTATTCTATAGTAAAATCTTGTTAATCGGTAATAAGATAATATATTTAGCGGTATACAAGTATTCTATAGTTAAATCCTGTTATTCGGTAATTGTATAATATATTATAAGCGGTCGACGAGTATTCTATAGTAAAATCTTGTTAATCAGTAATTATATAATATATTAAGCGGACGACATATTATTCTATAGTAAAATCTTGTTATTCGGTAATTAGATAATAGAATGTATAATACATGTATTCTATAGTAAAATCTTGTTAATCTCTAATAAGATAATAGTTTTAGTGGACGACATGTATTATATAGTAAAATCTTGTTAAATCGCTAATAAGATTTTATATTTAGCGGACGAAATTACCATAAAAACTTGAGATTTAGTAAAATGTATGTTTTATTTTTTCACACAATATACATATGTTGCAATTTTGTGACAATAAATTTTCAAAGTACAACTTGTGTGTAAAATCGAAATGTCAAATCCTACTTTTTCTTCGTATATTCAGCCAATGCAACACTTAACTCTTCCGTCTCCACGATGGCCGTTAGTACAAATGTGGACGGGTCCGCCATGGTAGTGAAAAGAATAAGTGATGACTGCGCGGAAACGATCGGTAAATAAATATACTTGTCACATATTAGTTAACTGTTTTAAAATAAGAACATATTTTATGAGTTTAAGAAAATTAAATTTGTAAATATACACAATGCAAATTAAAGAATATTTACGTCTTCATTTAAAGTATTACAAAATTGCCCCTTTAGTTTTCTATCAGAGTCAGGATTATTTCTGCATGTATGGATAAATAGACTCTAAAGTTTTCAAATGCCAAGCTGAAAACGTGATGCTTTCTGCGTATTGCTAGTAGGGGCTATTTTTGTATATATATTTTAACAAATTATATATATGGATATCTTTTGAGTTCATAAACCGATTAAAGCACGCTTTACAAAATAGTATACATGTATTTTGAACGCTCTATGCAGACTTATGTATGAGTAAAAATAAAAGAAATTTAATTATTTGTTTTATTTTGATACATGGAATACATAGTTTTAGTTATAGTATGAAACGTTATGGCATTCTTGTTAAAGACTTGTAGGAATCGGGGTCTTTCAAGAAGAATATATTCTGAAGAAAGTATACTGCATTAAACCGTGTAAATTCAAGTAAGAAGCTTTTAATCATTTTCTTCTTTATTTTCCAGCAATAGTATCGGGAGTATGTGCCGGTCTAGTGTTACTGACTCTACTTGGGTCTGTGCTGTGTTTCTATAGGCTACGTCACAAGTGGTAGTGTTACGCTGTTTTTTATTGATATTCTTTTCATTTAAATAAAACCTAAGTGAGTTAATGAAACTATATACTAGTAGTTTACTTTAATCGTTTTCGACAGTATAAACATTCCCAAAAGTGAAACTGAAGTTTTATTTATTAGATTAATATACATGTGTTATCCAACTTGTTCATACCTCTCTTCCATATCTCTCATGAAGATTTCCGGCTTGATACATAAAGATATACCATGTATACCCATCAATCAAATGACTGATAGTCTTCAGGATTCTTTAGGAATTTATTACACAAAAAACCGGCTTATAAATCAATCAATCAATTAATCAATCAAATAGTGAAGACCCTTCTCTGGTAAATGCAGATATTTACTTTCTATCATTCATTTTTGCTTCACTTTGTTACAGGAGGGCAAAGGTTCAGTTGGAACGCAAGAAGACGGACATCTGGTCAATGGCAACTTACAATAACACAATTATAAATGAAAACTTCAGCGATTACCAACTAGCATCAACAACAAACAAGCAAAACCGCAAAGCTTCGAAATTTTCAGAAGATTCTATCCACTTTTATGACCCGTTCTCAGAAACCGTCTCACAAAGCCGGTTTGCTTCAAACCATGACGACATTGTGTTGCGTAATGAAACACTGTCGCCGGAGTCACGTGCTGATTATTCAACGCTGAGACGAAATACAGTCAGTGCGCCTGAGGAGCTGGATACAAAACTTCAAGCGTTAAGAGTAGAACCTGATTACCTAGAGTTCAGTGAAGATAGAAATACATTGAGAGGTCGTTCGTCTACCTTTACAGTGGGAAGAAAGAATAATATAGATAGACATGTATTGTTGAGTCACGAAGAACTAGTGGACGACCAATCAGTCGTTGGCATTGCACAGACTGGTCCTAAATACAATGCCCGAACTAATAGTTACCATATTACAGAACTTTAAATTCACGTGTGGAATTGATTTTGAACAAATATCTTATAATCCAGCCTCTGTTCATTGATATTTTCTTACATACTGAAATGTTACTGTAACCCAACGACTAATTACACTCGCCAAAAGTATAAGATTATTTATTGCTAATATATTGGTAGGCACATGCGAGTCTAAATCAATCTATTTTTTGATGATTTTGGGCGAGCAATGCCCGATAAAACGTTTTATTAACACTCTCTCGCACTTGCAAGTCTTCAAAAATTTGGGAAAGTTTAACTAGAAAAAAATATTTGCTAATATGTCGATCCTCGACAAAACGGGGAAATTTATATCCGCGAATCTAAATTGGTTTACAGTAAATAAGAAATTGACAGCTATTTGAATGAACATGGCTGTATGTGAAAAATCGTGACTTTATGTTCTTACTTAACGCGTGTGTGTTTGTTGTATTAGAATCATTAATAAACGTGTATGAGTACATGTATACATAAAAAAGGAAACTATTGCTAATATCCGGTTCATATTGTTTCAAGTTTGTCATCATGCATCAATATCACGCTGAAACAATTGTAAACACACTGACTGAAATAACATTAAACTAACTGACGTTATAAAAAAATCTTTAAAACAATCAAACCAAATATATCTGACTAAGATATCGAACTTCTGGCATTCGTTGAAAGTCCGTTAAAATCAATTGTACTCATTGTTGGTCTAAATTGACGTGACCGCTCGTAACAGTTTGACTCCACTGCCGAGTAATCTATATTAGTGATAAAGTATCCGGTTTGTGCCAGGGTTGTATGTGATAGCCGCAATAATGATTGCACGTGGCACTTTCCGGTATAGCCCGTATGAATATTTGCAAAACTTCCTGCTGCGAGCCAGAAAACAGGATAAAAACACAAGAACATCGATTCAAAACATTTTTTCCCACTTTTAAATTTTCATAAATGTATGAGGTATGATATAGTATATGCCACAGAAAGCGGTCTGACAGCACGGGAATCTCTCCACTAAAATGTGATGGTGTAACTCACAGCGACCCGAGTAAGAAGGCTACAATATTGAACAAACAGTTCACTGGGGTGTTCACTACAGAAGACACAACAGATGTGCCAGCCATGGACGGAGAAAGATACCCAGACATGCCTCACATCACAGTAGGAGCTGAGGGCGTTAAGAAACTTCTCCTCAGCCTCAACCCCCATAAGGCCTCTGGTCCTGACAATATACCTACACAATTCCTGAAGGACTATGCCGAAGACATTACTCCGGCTCTCACCCTCTTGTTCAACGCCTCTTTACAACAAGGAACAGTACCTTCAGTCTGGAAGAAGGCAAATGTATCACCTATCTTCAAAAAAGGTGACCGTAGCAACCCTGCCAACTACAGACCCATTTCTCTCACATCAGTATGCAGCAAACTCCTAGAACACATCCTACATAGCCAAATTATGAAACACCTTGACCATCACAACATCCTTTCAGATCAACAACATGGATTTAGAAAACAACGCTCAACTGAAAGTCAGCTTCTTCTTACTCTTCAAGACCTGTCATCAGCCCTGGATCAAGGGGAACAAGTAGACGCCATACTACTAGACTTCAGTAAGGCGTTCGATGTTGTGCCTCACCGACGACTCCTCTCCAAGGTAGATCACTACGGCATCAGAGGGACAGTCAGAAGCTGGATTGAGAGCTTCCTGTCTGGCCGCAGCCAACAAGTTGTCGTTGAAGGCCATTCATCTGCATCCTCCCCAGTTACATCCGGTGTACCCCAGGGGACAGTACTATGTCCTTTACTGTTCCTCCTTTACATCAATGACCTACCAAAGTGCGTGACTTCAATCAGCCGCCTATTTGCTGACGACAGCCTGATCTACAGGAAAATCAAATCAGAAGCTGACGCATTAGCCCTCCAAGAAGACCTAGATAGACTCCAGGAATGGGAACGCAAGTGGATGATGTCTTTCAATCCCAGCAAATGTGAAGTCATACACATCACCAAGAAAAGAAGCCCCATCATTTATGCTTACAAGGTCCATCAATCAACTCTTCAATCTGTCAAAAGTGGAAAGTACCTTGGTGTCAACATCGCTAATAATCTTTCATGGAACATACATACAGAATCTACCATCAAAAAGGCCAACAACTCTCTATCATTCCTCAGAAGAAACATCACAAGCTGCCCACAAGACATCAAGGCCCAGGCCTACAAGACACTTGTTAGACCAATCCTGGAGTACGCAGGCACAGTCTGGGACCCACACACAGCCACCAACATCAACCAGTTTGAAGCTGTCCAAAGGCGAGCTGCCCGATTTGTAAAAGGCGACTACAAAACTACCAGCAGCACCACTGCAATGATGACATACCTAGGCTGGCTAACTCTACAGCATCGCCGCTCCAATGCCAAGCTAGTGATGGTCTACAGGATCACGCACAACCTCATAGCCATCCCAGCTGCACAGTACTTCCACCCCCTGACACTTGGTGGCCATGGCTATGGACACAGATTCCATGTCCCATTCTGCAGAACAGACACCATGAAGTTCTCCTTTGTACCTTCGGCCATCCGCCTGTGGAACCAGCTTCCAGAGCACCTAGCCACAGCAGTCAACCTTGAGGCCTTCAAGGGAGGACTAGTCATGGGGCCCTAATATGCCGGAGTTGATTTTATTTTTAACATGTTCTTCTTTTAAATCTGCACTTATTCGCCGCACAACACTTTGTACATACACCCTGTACGTCAATGCTCCAGAGTGGGTTATGTACAGTATTGGAAGAAGAAGAAGAAGAAGAAAATGAATAGTTTTCAACAGATAAAAAATTGCAATAACTTTAGTCTTTGGGTGAGTTCTTCTGTCGGATTAGCATGTACACTTTACACTGCAGAATTATACAGTTAAATTTCAGTATTTTTTGGTGCAACAGCAATAACAATATTTCCTCATATAATATATATAGTGGTGTGAAGTCTGGTAACAGTATTCAATTTTATTATGCCTCGGAGATGTCACGACTTTCATTTCTCAAAAACTTTTCATTTTTGTTATGCGAAAAAAATTGCTAATTTGCCATATAGATGAACCAGCTTTTGCTATCTTAGCAATTGGTATAATTATAGTAAAAATATTATTTTGTATGGAAGTCAAAATACTACTTTGCTTACATTTTTCTACCTTTATTACACATTACTGCACGATCAACGCTACTTTCTTCAATTCTTAAACATCTATCATACTCAAAGGTCAATTAATTAAAACATTTCAAAGAATGTTTGATATTTCTAAGGAATTGATTTATGGGTTTTTGAGGCACAATGTGCCTCTAACATGTACAGAATTGCAACCATGACGTCAAATAGCTGGCACTAGCCTGGTGTTTATGACTTACAAAAACCGTTTTTGTATTTTAACCAATCATTTTATTATTATGAATGACTTTGTGATAAGACACTGCATATACATTGTAAGTACTTTTTTGAGATTAAAACTACCAGTTATTTCTTGATGTTCGTACACAACACACACAAAAAACAACAAACATTTCGTAGAGAAATAGTTTTATTTGCGTAAAAATATACTTTAAATATATATGACAACATAAGTGCATTACCAGAATGCCTTTTAAAAAAACAAGAAGAAAAAAAGTAACTAATATCACATGCCATCCGATATATTCATATATAATATTATAAAATGGGGGAAATTTGCAACAAACCATAAATTTTTACACTTAACAGAAAAAAACCAACAAAAAACCTTAAAGTTCTCCAATTTAAACATTAATGGAAAATCTATAATCAAAAACATGTCAAATCAATAATGACAAGAGCACCGCTAGGTGGAACATTATATGCCTGAAAGTGAATTTTTTCGAAAACTGTTTTCAGTTTTAAGATAATAGTGACCTTGACCTTTGACCTTGTGACCCCAAAATCAATAGGGGTCTTCTTCCCAATATGGACAATCATCCTCTGAAGTTTGAATATTGTGGGCCAAATGGAACTTAAGTTATGGTCAAGAAACTGTTTTCAATTTCTAAGTAATAGTGACCTTGACCTTTGACCTTGTGACCCCAAAATCAATAGGGGTCTTCTACCCAATATGGACAATCATCCTATGAAGTTTGAACACTGTGGGCCAATTAGAACTTAAGTAATGCTCCAGAAACTGTTTTTAGTTTTAAGGTAATAGTGGCCTTGACCTTTGACCTTGTGACCCCAAAATCAATAGGGGTCTTCTACCCTATATGGACAATGATCCTATGAAGTTTGAACAATGTGGGCCAAATGGAACTTACGTTATACTCCGGAAACTGTTTTCAGTTTTAAGATAAAAGTGACCTTGACCTTTGACCTTGTGACCCTTAAATCAATAGGGGTCTTCTACTCAATATGGACAATCATCCTATGAAGTTTCAACACTGTGGGCCAAATGGAACTTAAGTTATGCTCCGGAAACTGTTTTCAGTTGTAAGGTCATAGTGACCTTGGCCTTTGACCTTGTGACCCCAAAACCAATAGGGGTCTTCTACCCAATATGGACAATCATCCTATGAAGTTTGAATATTGTGGGCCACATGGAACTTAAGTTATGCTCCGGAAACCAAATTGCTAACGGACGGACGGACAAACGAACGGACGGACGCCAGGGGGTATAACATAATATGCCCGAAATTCTTTGGGGCATATAAAAATATATTTCCTCAACCTATCATCAGATCTGTTTCAATGATTTTAATACAAGTTTATACTTCATACTAATATAGAGAAGAAATTTGTTTGTTTTGCATGTAAGATTGAAATATATTTCACTGAGTGGACACCAGATGTAATATTTTCATAAGTGGGGTATCCATGAGTGAAAACATAATAGTTGGTGTCCACTGAGTGAAATATATTAGAATCTACTATACTCAGAATCAATCTTAAGACAATTAATACCTTATACTTTATTTTAAAGGAACTCCACTGAGGTACAAAAGTCTTAAGCCTAAAAACTTAAAATTTGATTTTCTTCCATAGATCAGGTGGGGCATTTAAAACAGAAAGATATTCAAAAGATAATTTAGAAATATGCCCTGAAATCAATTGAATATCGTATTTTTGTTCTGTCATGTAAAAGGAATAACATCAGGAGAGTCCCTTTAACATTTGTAATTTATTACTGGAGGGCAAGTCATTATGTCTGTTACTAAATAGAGAACAAAATTCTATAAAGGTTAATATAAAAACTGGACGGATAAGAAGTAAAGGGATGAGATATATATATAATGTATCAAAACATTTCTACACAAAAAAAGGATAAAATAAATAACAAGGTGAAAGGGGAATTATAAAAAACAAAATAATATTTCAAAATGATAATCATTAAAATGTATAAAGCTATAACCTATTGAAACATTTTAACCATTGAAAATGGTGATATCATAATGTTTCCATATTTGTATGGTAAATTCTAGAAAGAGTTACAGCAGAATATTTCCGATATTTAACAAATATGAAACTGTATGTGAACAGAGTAAAATGTTCTAGAACAAAAAGTTATGCTGCCATTTAAGTAGGTTTTAAACAGTTAAGCATTTTTTTTGTACATGTGCCATTCTCTCAAAAGTAAATATATTTCTTAAAGACTGGCATATTGTATTTTAACTTTTTCAAATTTAAACAAAATTTTTGTAAACTACAGGTGGAATAGATAAAGCTTTATACATTTTAAAAGGTAAAAAAACATGACTAAAATTAACACATAAACATCATAATGAGTTAAAGGACATTATTTACATGGTATGTTCCAGACATACAAATATTATTGCATAATCACAGACTAACAATATAAAATCTACAACATGTTACAGTTAGTAAAAAAATGGAAGAAAAAAAGGGACAATAACAAGACTTTTAACAAATGCAATATGGTAAAACTGCAATTAATAAATTCAAGTTAAGAAATGCTGTTCATAAAAATGCTTCAAATGCATATCAATAACAATTCACAATAAGAATTCACCTATAAAGATGTACAATGAATTGAATTGAATTTGTTTTCATTTCAATTTGTTTCTTTAGAATTAATTAAAGTGATTTAATATTTCACAGGTTAATAATAATATTTCACAGACTAAATATTTCATTTATTTGTTACAATTGTTGTTATTTTTATGACTGATTTTTAAAGAAATTCATGTCCTTACATTATTTATAACATCACTGTAATTTCAAAACCACTGTGTTTCTAAGGCAGTTCAGTGCATGATTATATTTAAACAATAAAAGTACAATAATTTAATGTTGGAAATTTCTTGAATATAAAAGTGTTTTCAAGGCAAGTACCTAGGCTTCAAAGTATAATATCTAAAATGGTAACAATATAGTATGTTTGATCTGCAGGTATCACACATTATTGTAATTCAGTAATCAGTTAACACCTATAAGATCCTGCACAAAGTTTTAAGCGAGCAAGAAAAAATCTAATAATTTGTGTACATTCTTTTTGTTTGTTTGTTTTCACCTCCCCCCCTTCCCCCCAAAAAAGAAAAACATGAATATATACCAAAGGGGGATCAATAAGCAAAAATAACCATCTGGGTTATCTGCTCTTTAGAAAGCATTCCAATATTGATCTGAACAAGTATTCCAAGTTAAAAATGAATATCTTTTGATAGTTTTTGAGAAAATAACCTTCACTAAGAGGTTAATATTGGTAAAAACATCTTAGAAGTAAAAAAAAACTGCTTACTATTATTTTAGAATTATCTGCTCTTGAGACTATGTCTTCACACTTTGATAATGAACAAGTATATTAAATGTGAATTAAGTAAGTGACCTTAACCTTTGACCTTTATTTAGTGTGGCAAGAAGAACTCAACAAGATTTAGCCACAGTAATAGCTTAGTCAATACAGAAGAAGACCACAAATGACAACAAAAAGGATAACCAAAGCCGAGTGCACCATGAAATAGCTTCACTTACTCTTTTTCTTTCTTTTTGATTTTCAAAATGTAAAGATTGTCTGAAAAAAATATCTCTTAAATTACACAGCAGGATGCACAATTAATTTTGATTTATGATGCCTTAAAAGGTAACCTAATTAAATCTTTATTGCAGACTGGACAAACAGCAGAATATTTTTTTTATTTGATAATTAAAGCTTTATCTTTGATGTAACTTAAATCAAGGCTGCTCATGCATCTTATTTAAGATACAATTTGTAAATGTTGGAAAGTCCAACTACGTATGAAATGTTCATAAAATTGTACATCTGGAATTATCTGGTTGGGTCTCATCTTCAACAAATTCACTGTCACTAGGTAATCTTGCAACACCATCAAGAATTCTCAGATTGGGCAAGGTCTGAAATACTCTGAAAAATATAAAATATATACGTCAATACATTCCTGAACATCTGAAATAATGAGCACAGAAAATCAAAACTGGAGTTTATAGCTGTTATTAAACACTCCAAATTTAAATCACTATCAGATCCAGCACAAAAAGTCCATATCAAATCACTATTTTACTCCATCTAGCCTTATTTTTATTTTCAAGAGTCCAAACATTACTGTAGGCAAAGTACCAAAGTTCAATACAGTACAATACTGATTCTATAGGATTCTGCTAGCACCTCTTCTAATATATATTTGACAGCTGTGTACAATATCCAATAGATTTCAGTATTGTACTCAAAGATGTATATTAACCTCGTAATGTCAGCCTTTTAGCCAGTGGGTTCATCACATTTATTTGGCAGAGATCAATCACCAAATACAAGTAGCCTGAATTTCATAGCTCAAGTTTGTGATGTATAAAATAAAGAAATGTCTAACATTACTGCTTTTTAAGTTCACAACTGAAGAAAAGCGTCATAAGCAGACTGTATCTAACATGCTAGTTTTCCTAGGCTTTGATATCATAAGCAATGAAATTATTTTCACTATTTATAATAATAATATATGAATTTGATTATCTGCTGCCTGCAATTTACAAAGTTTTTGTTAAAGGAATTATTTTAAATTAAAAATATGAGTGAAAAAATTATTGTATTTTTCCTCAAAAGCGAATTGTGCATGCACAAAGTCATTGCTAAACAGTCACAAACCCTATAATATTGCAGGATTCTGGAACATTTCATTCTGTTTACATACAATATTCAGGTATGTTAAATATCAAAAGACATTCTATGTCACAACTCTTTTGTAAATCAACTAGAAGATTATAGATTATGGAAAGACCGTAATTTTATCATTCATAAATTTTATGAAAATATTTCATTTGATTTAACTTTTTACCACTTGAACGACCATGTAATATGTTTTTCATTGTAGGGAATTTTCTTTTACATGGGAAAAAGTCAACTTTTTTTGGCATAACAGTTCCAATAATTGTCAATAAAAATGGGGATCAAGAGCCACGATGCTAAATGGTTAATATAAAATTACAGAACCAATGTTACACAAAACTAAGAAATAATTCAGTCATTTGAGCGCCTTACTTTTGTCTGTAGTTGATCTCAAAGGAGCAGTTGTTTCCACTGAGGTATAACTCCTCTAAAGGTGTCCCACGAAGACTTTGTAACCCATCCAATGTCTTTATGTTGTTATCTGTTGCAACTATTTTCTTTGCTTTAGGCAAAGATGGGAAGTCCTGGTAAAAAATATAAATATATATATATTTCCGATTTCAATACAGTGAAAAGTTGGAAGATTATTAAAGTGATAACAAATAGAACAACAGTACTTTCCTTTCATTTTTCCCTTCACAATAATCAAAAGCAACAACATTTTAAGATATAACATTAATATTGGCATGAGTTTTTCATACAGTGAACATTCTATATTAGGCACCTACATGGCTATAGTGGTTCAGGTTGCTGTTTTCAAATTAGTTACCACTCATCACTGTGGGTTGGAATCTCTACAGGGACTTTGGATTCTTTCATTTGAGGAAGATATCCAGCTATCTTACAAAAAGTCAGTACTTTTTATTCAGGTACCCACTGATGCATGAAATAATGCAGGAATGGGCACCCAAGGTCTTTTCCCATCAATAAAGCTCGATAAAGTTGATATGATATAAGACCTTATAAAAAGTATAGACAAGACTTGGTCCTTCATGTTTTTTGTTTTTAAGTCATACTGCAACTATTGAGATAATCTGGTGACAGTCTTGCATCAATGATGAAGGATGATACATGTAAGTGTATAATAACTGACACTGAATAGATTTCTCAAGAAATGACCTCTGTAACAGGTTAGTTTTTAACATTTAGCTGATTGTTGGTATCATACATATAGATAAAATCTATGCAGGTGATTGCAGGCATTAATTATCTGTCAAACCCAGTTCTTCCAAATATGTTGTTCATATATTACAGTCTTTTTTATTTATTAAGTTTACATACCTTTATAGAACCTATGTAGTTTGCATGCATATTGATGTACTCACATCTAAAAAGTAAAAAAACAAACAAAACAAATGAGTAATACATCATCTGCTGCATCTCAAAAATATAAATATTAGTATACCCCTATACATTTCCTTTCTAAAATACTCATAAATCATAGGCCCTAATACCATTCAAAGGACAGAAAATTATGTATTATGTAAGTGACAGTATGGTACCATATAATGGCAGTGCAAAACTTTTTTTCTTCATGGTTCTCTCTTGCTATGAGTGTTACAAACTAATAGTATAGTTATGAAAGCAAGAACCAATACGTCATAGGGTGTGACCTCTTTTGCAATATTGATGCATTATTAATTCATCTGTCATTCATGAATTTTACAACTTGACAGCTGTATTTCTATTTGTGAAAAAAAAAACTATTAAAAGTCCAGTAACTAAATCTCTCTTACTCTTGAAATTTACAGGTATATTTTGACAGGAAAATTATGCTGAAGTACTTTTTTGAGGTCAGGTATTTTACTACTTGCAGCATGGATGAACTAATATCTTGTTTGAGCTTTGGTCTCGCACGATATCAAACTTCCACCCTGTTTGTAGCACGATACAAAGCCTCAAATAGCTTCCATAAAAATAATATTTCATACCTATTTTAACAGGTTTTGAACTGTTTCTGAAAAATCTGAGCATTTGTATTGGCAAAATTTCTAATTTATTTTCGATAGCTGCTCATTCAAAATTGTTGCGATGACGCACTAAAAATACTGCTTTTTTTCAAACGGTGATGAGCAAATTCAAAGATGTTTGTATATACATTATATTTTGACACTGTATGTTTAGTATTATTCATTTAAAGCTATAAATCATCATCTTAGTGCAGTAATGGGTTAAGTTCTTCTAAATCTAATTGGAGTTAACCAGTTATTGCACTAAGGTGTCCAAATGTTAATTAAACATCATACCTTGAAAATTTGATTTGTTTTAAGCTGACAATGGTGTTGTAGGAGATGTTAATTGTGACAGCAGATTGGCATTTTGCCAGAATCCTGTAAAAATTCTTCCATTGATATTCGTGACACAGTTCCTGATAACACAAGTTGATCACCTGAAATTATGATCATAATAAGAGCCGCGTCATGACAAAACCAACATAGTGCGTTTGCGACCAGCATGGATCCAGACCAGCCTGCGCATCCGCGCTGTCTGATCAGGATCCATGCTGTTCGCTTACAAAGTCTATAACAAGTAGAGAAACTGATAGCGAACAGCATGGATCCTGATCAGACTGCACGGATGCGCAGGCTGGTCTGGATCCATGCTGGTCGTAAACACATTATGTTGGTTTTGTCATGACGCGGCTCATAATTATAAACATTGAGACTGATAATAAGAAAAACTTATGAGTGTAACATTTGGCAACAAGTTTATATATTATCAACTGCCCAGTCTTCACTTTTACAGTGTCAAGACACAAAAAATACTTTAAAAGTATATTAAGAAATCCTAATGATTATTTTAAATTTATGTAATATCCCTGTAATGGAATCGGGTTTTAAGAAAATAAAGAAATGGCTTAATGTCACTCAGCTTGCAGCTTTAAGTAAAGAAAGTTAATTCTTCTTGAACTGTCTGTGATATGGTATGTGAATTCTATGTTGAATAGATCTATGTTATACACCACCTAAAGGCCATTGATTTTAACAACAGTTCTTGGTCACCTGAATGTTTGGAACACTCCAACCAGATTAACTACTTCCAGCTACTTAAATTTAGCATTTTAATCTAAAAATCCCTAAAATTAACAACAGAATATTATATACATATTCAAAATTTGGCAAGACCATGATTATAAAATTTTAGTGAAGTAAACATAAAAGAAATTAAGACAAAGCTGCAGCAAGCAATTAACCCATTTTAAGCATTTAGCATTTTCTTAAAGAGAAACTATTAAGGTACTTATTTCACTTACTTCTGCACTTTCCCAGTTTTCCAACTCATTCATATGATTTTGTCTCCTCCTACCTGACAAATCATGGTGGATAGGTAGACCATCCTCAATCACACGGTTAAATTGTTTCTCTTTTTCTGGTGGACCTAAAATATTTATATCACAATAATATTATATTTACTCTGGAGTTAAACAGTAATAATTATTATCTTTATATTTAGCATTATAGATTGACCTCCATAGAGTTCATTCTTTTAACCATACAATACTATTTGGTGTAAGCTAAAAAAAAAAACAACAAACACACAAACAACAACAGCTGTCAGTAGGACAGGGGGCTCCACTATTATTTAACAAAGCTCAAGCTAAAGAAGAATAATGGCCATAATTCTGTCAAAATCATGGTAGAGCTAATGGACCATGGAAGGTAATCTCCTATGCAAGTAATAATTTTTAACCCATTCCCTATAGTAGTTGTGGAGATACCAAGATGTACACAAAAACTTTACCAATTTAGTGTGATGAACCAATGCTCTCCCTGTTTTACAAATAGTTGTGCTAAAAATTGTCCTCCCTTTAATACCTTACATAGGTTCTAATAGTATTAGGGTATATATTAAACTAAACATACCAGCTCTGACTCTTGGAGCATGTAATTGGTCTCCAGTTAAACATGTCTGTCTGAGGTCATGCCATACAGAATATCGGAACTTATGTGAAGGCAACTGAAAAATAAATAATATTATTTTAACCTGATATTCCAGTTTTAATCTACCTGTAACTTGACACTAAAAAAAACCAGAAATTATGAGAACTTCGCAAATAGCCAATTTTGTAGTGTAAAGCTATATGTATATATCACAATTCTGAGACTGTCATCAGTTATATGTATCGCAACAGTGTGAAACCAGTCCAGGTACATCAACAAGGTCTATTCAAGCTTATTCCAAATACAGTTCAATTAATTTTTTTTCTCTGTTAAACCATGAAATTAACAAGGGACAAGTCAATTTTGAATTGTTAAAATTAAGAGCGACTCTCCTGCATGAATAATGCATCAATTGTCCACATGTAACACCAGCCCTCCAAATCATAGGGAACATCAAACTTAGTTTTGGATTGTCAAAGGTGTGGTATTGAGGTCACCTATCCTGCAGGAACATTCAGCCAGATGGTAAAGTCCCCACTAAATGGCCTTGCACTGGAGGCTGGATATTTCCCTGCTGTTCAGGCACCAAGACAAAGCCAACACATTGGCCCATTAGTGTGGGGACAATCAGATGATAAAAAACATTGATCATTTTCCCCCCACTATCCCCTATACTTCATCCATGAGTTTGGGTGTGAGGGACACATTGACTGATACACAAACTTGATATCATATCAAGAAAGGCCTAGCAATACATGTGCACATTGAAGTGCACATCTAGTGCACTTCAAGGGCACTTTGTGTAACCTTTAGTGTGAACTCTGAACTGTATATAGACACACCTTAGATGAATTCATAAAGATAGTTTCTAATGAGCAGTTACTATGAAAAAAAAATATCAATGGTAAAATTATTTCCTTTTTCTCTTCATGCAACTATGCAAATTACAACTGTCCATTGAAATATGAAGACATGCTAAGAAAAAAATATGTTATAACAAACCATTAACTTACTACCTTCGGGAGAGTATCATCATAATTATAGCTGAAATGCTTGTTGTTGGTATTTATTTTCCCAAGTGTGCCTGTAATTTCTGACGTATTTGTGTGACTTGTACCAAACGTAGAATTGGTATCATGACCACTGTCTGTAATGCTACAATAAACAAAAGTTATGTGTAACATTAAATAACGATAATATGCCACTAAAGGTGCATAACTCGAAGTTTATAGCCTTCAGAATTATGTCCCTTGTTTAACGACTTCATATTGTCAAGATAAGCAAGTACATGTATTTCCCTTTTTTCTTTGATAATATAAATACAGTATTTCTTGCACCAGAACCAAAAATTTTATGTTTAAAATACACATTTTGTTCTGCACCCCATATTAAATTGAAGAATGCTTGGGTTGTATAAATAGAAGATATGGTTTGGTCTGTTTACAAAGTGATACAAAAATATTTTGATGAAGTTTTAAAGACAAGGCGAATAACTGCATGATGGTTGATGTAAGGGGGTCTTAACATATCATTTTTGTTTAATTCATACCAATCTCGCATTTACAAGGCAGCACTGCCCTTCCGGGGACTAACATTTCCCTCCCTGACCCTTTTTTGTGTTACCCTGCATGGGCTTGCTTGTGTTCCAGCAAGTTGTGGGATGAATTGAACAGGACTAAAATTTCTTCTTGTACACAGCTAAAGTTCACTTGTCCAAATAAAGAGTGAAAAACATCTTTTTTTAAATATTTATTTATCTCACCAAATTGGATCGTTGTTTACTGTTTGCTAAAACTTGTATTTGGACACCTATATGACACGTTTGGACAACATTTGATGCAATGTAAGAGAGTCCTTATATAAAGGACCAAAGTCGTATCTGCGGTTCGGGGAAGTTCATTCTGCAAACATGACAATTTAGTTTGTCCGAATTATTTTTCGTATTTTCTGAGCCAAGTAAAATCAATTAACAAGCTATCTTTAAACATGCGTTTGTCACAGGTCATACTCTTTGTCTCTCTGCACATTTGATTTAAGCTTTTCAGATTATTTTCAGACCTAATGAAAAATTTGTCCACTTAATGTATTGAAACAATTCACAACAAAATGCTGCACATAATTTACTAAGGCCATCACAACTTTTCAGCTAAAGAATAATCATAGAGGTGAGCTGATTGATGGCAAATAAGGCAAAATGGCTTTGTTATTGTTTCGAATAATGGTGGAGAAAGGCAGAAGGAGTTATGATTGGTTATTGACCCGTGCAAAAGTAAATCGAATTCAACGAAAATATTTTTTTTTTAATTTTAATACCAACAACTGCCTCTATGACACCCTGTAAGAGTACCATTTAAAACTGATATACATGTATTTGCTCTGTGTGTGTATGTGTATATATTATAAAAATGATAGTAAAGGTTAAGTATAAGTTAATAAACATTTGCCAGTACAATGTAATAAATATATATATCCTATGGTAGTGTATAAAATTCGGATTTGAATCCAATAGGCTGGTCGGGCTACCACATTGGAATATTCACTAGCCCAATAGACATTTCACTAGTATGATTCTTTCCTTCCAAACAGAAGCGGTTCATGAAATACCGAATGATGCTTTTAAAACAAAAAATCTGGGATGTACTATATCGTATGTTCCAGAAAAAATGTAAAATAAAAAAATGAAGGAATCTTTTTTTTTATATCTCAGACTGAATTACGGACAGGGCGGACCGTTAGACAGGGCGGACCGTACCAGGGCGGACCGTGACTCGAGACTAGGCGGACCATATTTTGGGACAGGGCGGACCGTCACTCGAGACGAGGCGGACCATGATTTAAAAAAGTATTTATATGTGGAGGAATGTAATAAAAGCATTAAATTATTGATGTTTTTGTTCCTCGTATTAATATTTCAATGCAAATATAAAAGTAAAAATATTATATACAGTAAGTTTTAAAAGTCTTATTGTTTAATAAATTATATGTCAGTGTTCTTTTTATTTCATGTGTTTGTGCTTATTATGTAAATTTTAATAAAATAGTTTTGTTCTTTAAATATGTCACTTTATTTTTTTTTGTTATTGTGTTGTACGTATTCCAAATAATTTTAATGTGATGTAATTCATTTCATTATCATTGTTATTTCGTGTATTGTACAACAAAATATATGTTTTTTATGTGTCTAATTGTTTAATAAAGTTTGTCAATTTTAGCAGCGTAAGCGCCTTATACAAACAATGGCATTGTAATACCTGATAATTGGTCAATTATTACCTGCGTAAGTCGACGCAGTTACAAATAATTTTCTTGAGAAAAAAGTATGAAACTACTCTAATATACTGAAACAAAAAAGAAACTTTCTCCAAGTTTGAATGTAGATATGTTAGTACAGTTTTTCAATCCTTTTGAAACTCAATTTTTACGTTGAATAAATATATTAGGCTTTTATACAGAGATAAGCTGACCGATTGAGTTTTACAAGCTACTACATGTATACAAACAAGTGTGTACATCTAAGTGGTACCCTTGAACAACTAGCACATACTTTGCGAAAGTTTCTTTTTGGTTCAGTATATATATGTTACATATATGTTACATAGAAAGGTTTAGATTGAAATATTATAAAGAATACCAAAATCATCCACAATTAAATACTTTAATAACTTTTTTAAATCACGGTCCACCTCGTCTCGAGTGACATCGTCCATTCAGCAAATTAATATACAATTACACATGAACTTTTAAAACTTATTTTATATTTTTACTTTTATATTTGAATTGAAATATTATTACGAAGAATAAAAACATCAATAATTGAATATTTTTATTACATTAACCCACATAAAAATACTTTTTTAAATCAAGGTCCGCCTCGTCTCAAGCGACGGTCCGCCCTGTCCCAAAATATGGTCCGCCGAGTCTCGAGTCACGGTCCGCCCTGGTACGGTCCGCCCTGTCTCACGGTCCGCCCTGTCCTGCAGGCCTCAGACTTCCCCCTTCATGGGCTTTGCCTACTTCCTTATCATGTAAAATATGCTCACACATTATTTACAATTTCAAATGGTAAATGCCATCTCTGTATCAGTTAATTGACTATTTTGAAGCTTTACATGTACGAGTAATTAATGGTCAGCTAGGCCTTAATCAGTTAATCCGTTAATAATTTGATAAAGCCTGATTAATTTACAGTAGTAAATGACTTGCAACATATAATTATTAGTCAATCTCAGTGACCATTCTATCCTATTTGTTAAAAAACTGTAATATAAAAGCTGTTTCTTTGGGGGGAAAAAAGATATCAACATACATGATTGTATGGTCTATGTGGCAGGATCAGTTAAAAATTTGGAGTCGCTTTTAGTAAACTAATTTCTTTTAGATTTTGTGTTACAATGTGACATACATATAGAACATATTCAGCGCAATAAAAATGATATCAAGTTTTCTGAATGTTACCTTTCTGACATGGTGCAAATTTGTTCTAATTAACACTAATTTTCCTAATTGGTGCACTTGCTTTCATTTTGTTATTGTACAATACGTCATCAAAAATTGTGTTAAACGTAACGGTTGTCATGGACTTAGACGCTTTATTGATATGACTATATCCCGTTATACACCGTATCAATTTTCATGCATTTTAAAACCCTAGTCTGGATTTCCTGGCTTTTCTCTCCGTTCAATAAATTTTATAGAACGACGAGAACCAGACTATTTAAAACCCAAGACCATTTAAGCACGGGACTGCAGCTATCTTTAGTTTATGACTTTCAAAAAATAGAGACACATGTAATATTTCAGATTTTGTTACTGTTTCATAATTGTGAGAGATGATTGTGTTCCCTTTACCAAGGAATGTTAAATGAAATTTAATTAATTTACCATTTATATGTTTTTTTTGTACTTTGTATAATTAATGATTTCAACCAATGTTATCCCATTATCAGTTTTATTTTAAAAATGGTAGAAATAAGATATTTCATAGATCTATACTAATTATAAACCAGGTAATAAAACTGAAATACTAAATGGACAGAAGTAAACTTTTGAACTGATCATACAAATTAACTGATTCACTCTTTGAATGAATAAAGTATGAATAGTTTCTTATAATCTTAGAAACAAATGTGATGATATTTATGTAGATCTACTTAAAATTTAGCTTGGAAATTGTATGGAATGTGATGATGTTATTTGTATAAATAAAAAATAAATAAATTAAAAGTTCCGTCCTTTTCTGATATTTTTTCAAATATCATTGATTTTCAAACTAAGATTGACGAGGACATATAAGGTATATGTAAATGGTAGGGTAAAATATTGATTTTTTTCTTAAAGTCATGCAATAATTTTGCATGTATTTCATGTGATTTATGACTTTCGCAAACGTTCATGATGAAAATTGAAAAAGACGGTGATATACATGTTCCTATAACTGACCAGCCAAAAACAAGTTGACGATTTAACTTAACCCAGGCGCGTGTTGTTGCAGGAAGACCGTACGTATTAGCTTCTAGGCCTCAAATCGTGCTCTGGTTGAGTTCAGGTCCAAAAAAGGGTGGATGGGTACTACCAGTTCCGGCTGATTTTAGTATCATTTGTCTCAAATTTTCTTATGAAAATTTAATTTGAACTTTGAAGAAACCAATTAACTGAAGTTAAGAAGAAAAATTGGGCAAATCAGTTTTCTAAGATCACATGTGAAAAAAGGGGGACATGTGTTGGGTAAATTATAGTAGCTATCCCTCTTTCTATGCCACGACTTTAAAGAGGCATTGCTGTTCACGGGGATTTGGCCTTTGTTTCTTTTTCAAGGTTTTTAGTATTTCTACACAAAACTTAAGCTACATGTACGATAGAAATACATATAACGATTCGGTTATAATCAATACAGTAAAACATTAAAACATGAAGTAAAATTTAGTCATAATTCTTACCGACAATAGCAAACGGCCATATTTTATCCACCGCTTATGCGACGAATCTACCTAGACATAATCACATAAAATTGAAACATAAGAATCAACATTTAAGTGTTTTAGGAAGACTTTATATCATAAATTTTAGAGTACTACTCGTACTAATTAGCAATGAAAATAAAAAAAATCAACAACAAGAACACATTTTAAAGCATATTTATTTATCCTTAAAAGTAAAGTTTTACATTGAAATTTAAACTTAGGACCATGACAGATTGTATAGGCATTTTTTCTTAAATCAGTTCTTGTGCCTTTTTTCAATTATAGCATTTTTTGCTATCGCAGATTTCGCAGACTGGAAAATGATTGATATAGATCATTGATTTACATGATAAAATGCGCTTTGAATTCAATTTTCAAGAATGGTGTTTTCATGTATACATTATTCCTGGCAGTTTAAGAGATCATTAAATAAGTATGTACTCGGTCTGAAGTAGACAAAACAAAAGCATATAAAAGGAATTCAGCATAATAATGAAGTTGTATGCACTACCTATATCTAAATGTAATGAGATGGTGGTACGTTATCTTCAGGTATTCAAACGATAAGTAAAGTTGTAAAAGGCGTCAATTTTTGCAATAGAGACGTAGACTTTTCTGTTACAATGGTATGACAATACAAATTACATGTAAGTATTTAATAATAGATGTAGGTCACCCTTTCTTTATTGAATCCACTAAAGCATCACCTGACTTGAATGACTCTCCATAGACCGGCATCTGACTGGAATGACTCTCCATAGACCGGCATCTGACTGGAATGACTCTCCATAGACCGGAAGATATCTTCATACATTGTTATGTACTCAAGATTGGATGCAATATATTTTGCTTTAAACTGAGTAACGTTAGGAATGATTATCCAGACGTACGAAAGTAATACTATGCACATTGTCATTGTTTTCACAGTAAAACGTAAATTCTTTTGTCAATGTTTGAGGGGCATTTCTCTTATGTTAATATCCTAGTGGAAGAAACTCTGCTACTTTCGCTGTAATTGTAAAAGATCCTGTAACACAAGTTTTTTTTATGGTTTATATGATAAATATGATGCTCAAATTAAGATTTATCAATTTTGTAAATTCTAAAAAGCATTATTTATAAAGATATTACTGAGTTTAACATTTCATGTAAATAAAGGGAGGTTATAAAAATGTTCGATACTGTAATGTCCAAGTCAAATTTATCAATAAGAACAGAATGCATATATTCTAATGGTTACATATAATAAGTACAAATATTTGCAGTGCATATTTTACATATTCTTCGGTGTTTGAAAATTGTTTTATAAGCATAATAATTTACATAAATTATATATAATTTCACGTCGTATACAACATACAGGATCTTTAAACAATACATATACACGGGATGGAACCCCATATGAATGTCAAAAATGAGCATCGGTAAAAAGTATATGTGAATTTCCGCTGCTCCAGATGTGAAGCATAACACCAGATGTGACTGTGAAAATGCGTCAATCGCAGGGTTAGTTTTCAACTTTTTAAACAGTTATATAAAATTCATTTAAAAAAAAATAAATATAAAATCGAAATGTGATTTTTCCCTCCTGACTCTCCTCTATATTACCCATCTTTGTTTTGGATTTGTATGCAGTTTTCATCGAGATATTCTTTCCGTAGTTGGGTGTGTCCAAAAGTTATATGTTTGCTAATTCAGTATGTCAAGGAAGAAGATTATAAATAAACAAGTCAATATGTACGAATAAGCAAATAATTTGGAAATTTAACTCAAAACTATCAGATTTTCAACAATAGGCGATGAAAAATGCACTATAAAGTGTTTTTTGACACATAATACAATATGTAAGGCAAGCTTAAGCATCAATTTAAGCAACTCAAACTCTTTTTTTTAAGATAAAAACAGTTATTTTTGACGATGTTTCTTCGGTATATACAAAAGCTTTCCTAGAGAAGGCGAAACTCTGTGACAATTAATTATCAGTAGGACTTCTGACAAGTTATCATAAGAACTTTATCCTCCGTGTAACAGTTCTTGTCCCGTAAATATCAATGTAACAGATATTTTCATTACTAGCAAAATATTAGCTGGTGGTGTTTCCAATACATTTCTATTGATATTGTTTTTCCTTTAACTGGACTGCACTGTGTCTGTATAGAAATGTCAACCTGTATAATTATATATCTATGTTACAGCAATGCAATAATTCATTATTTATAACTCATCGTGCACCTCTTGCGTTTGTTTGCCTGGAGATAACCTGTAATAAAGTAAAAAAGGTATAAATTGCCGAACAAACACATCTGCGGACTTTTCTTGATTCGATATGTCACCATTTTGGGGTTTTAATGTCGAATTCTGCTTGAGCCGGTGCTTGGGTGAATAGACGGTAACTTGCACTTTCCAGTTTCGGTTATGAACAGGCTCAATCAAACCGAGCCTGAAACATTTACAGCATTGTCATTTTTGCTGTTCTTTAGGGATTCAGTTTTTCTCTATTTTACATTTAAATTATTTTGTTTCCGAGAGAAAATAATAATACCATAGAGTAACTGCTAGAGTACCTTCAGCTGGAACTTAAATTTGACTAAATTTGATTAGATTTCAATCTTAAAAGTGTTTAGAAAAATCTAAAGAAAACAAATATTACATACAATACAATAATCCTATTTCGAAGTACCTCCTCGTTTAAAAAAAAATTTAGTGTAGATTTTAACCGCTGCATAACCAAATACGGTTACAAAGTCATCCCGGACAGCATTTGTGTACAATACGGATTTTCTCTCTATTGGACCATACTTTAGCATGTGTTACTAATATATTATACTTAATATAGAACAATATGTACTGGTATTAAAGAAATATTGATCTTTTTAACCCTTTCTCCATGAGCATATTGTGAAAAGTGGCCGTTTTCACTGAAAAGCCTCCTGTTACAAGTTCAAATTGCTATGAAACTATGAAAAATGCTTCAATACTAATCAAACTTGGCACAAATGTTGACTGGACCATTGCCTTTGTAACGACATGCTCAGTCTTAAATTTCCTGTTACCATGGCAACGAGGGGACATCTCAAAATTGCCAAAAATCACTATTTTGCCTCAATTTTTCCATCAAAATTTATTTCAAAGTGCTGCAACTTCTCAAGGGATTGAGATAGAGTCAAAGGCTTTTCAGCGTTGGTTACACGTTACATTATGATCGACCTGGGGTCATTATAGCCTCTCACAAGTCCAAAATTTTCTTGTCGATGAGGGGGACTCCCTTCAAACCCCCCCTAACAGAAGGGGGCACATCCCCCTTCTGGCAACCCCCTGATGTATCTTTTGGATGGGTGGCGGTGCCGAAAAAGTGCTCATTTTTTTAGCAACATTTCTCAAACGAATACATTTGTTTGGGGCCTTAAAAGGACATTTTTTTTCACTATTTGAGGCCTAAAAAAAGGGGGGGGGGGTCGAAAGTGCGTTGTTTTGCGTATATATGAGGTAAAGGGTTAAAGAATTATAGATAGATATACATGTAAATTCCAAATAAATTACGCAACTGCTGTTGATCTGCTTTTTTGTACAAATTACATTTGTTTATAGTTTCTGAAAATACAAACTTTCTGAGTAACTTATACCTATGTGCTTATTCATGATTAACACTGCCGATTAAAACTTTAATTAAAAAGCTGCTTAGCATATGCTGTATTTACAAGCATAATCCAAGAATTCTTTAACTTTAAATCAGACGTTTATATTTACACTGAATTGAAAAATTCCACTTCTCCTCGCATGCTCTTTCTGTACACGTCCAGTGCTTTCTCCTTTGTTATTTTACCGTTGATGAATGCGTCATTTGCGACCTTCTCAAACTCAAGGTGAACATTAATGTTAGGATCCTGGCCAATTTTCTTCCACCCACTTATTATAGATGCCAAAATGTTTCTGTGAGAAATAGACGAAAGTTTATCATGATTATTTTCAGCACAAATACAAATCAACTCTGAAAATGACGGTAGCATCGTTTGCTTAAACAGAAGTTCTCGATGATATGATCTACATGAACATTTTATTTGTAAAATAAAGTTTTAATGTCATATCTAAAAGTCAAATCTTTAGATATATGAATCACAGACATGTAGGTCATTGATATATTTCTATTCATAGGAAATGCCCTCGCAAAATCATTTAAAGAATTAGTAAACTGCATTGTAAATGGTGCTGATAAAAATATGTTAATTTCTTACACTTTTTGTTAGGCTCATAATTAAGCAAATTGTCTTTACAAATACAACTCAATCCACGAAGATAACCTAAAAGTACACTTGATCTTACAAAAGGCTATAATTCATTAAATAATACCATTTTCACTTACATAGAATTAAAGCCAAATTATATGAAAGAGGCTGTATTATGGAAGGCGGTAAATCATTTAGCTCTATAAGTTACAGTCTCTTTTTAGAAGGTGGTTTGAGAGATATAATTTTTTTACTTCAGTATTGATTGCTTAGGTGTACGTGCGTGCGTGCGTGTGTGTGTTTACCTTGCCAACTCCGATTTGTTCTCCGATCCATGGCCACAGTTTTTCACAGGGTATATTAGCAACCACGAAATAAACGGGGTCCATGGTCTCTGCAACGTTGAACAGGTGATCCACGTAGTCTTGACATTCGTTTCCCAAAATGATCGAATTGGGGTCTTGTATATGCCAATCTTTGAGGGCATTAGTGTACAGGCTGGTATTGAAACGAAAAAGTAAATGGACATATTATAGGGATTGCAGTTCTGAATAAGTAGATTAACTGTGAATTATCACGAATTCAAGTGTATTTAAACTATTTATCATTGTATAAAATGCGATGGATTAATTTATTCATATTCTTATCCTATCATAACTTTGAACTTTCATTATCAATTAACGTAACATACCTTCACATATGTGTGGAAAACAAAACAAAAACAAACTAACACAACAAAACAACACAGACAATAATGTTACTTACATCTTCAGAAGAATAATTATTATGTTTAGAACAATGAATGACACAATACTCTTTTATTAACATCAATTCATTCAATACATTATTACTCAAGCGTTCAATCATATTACAGAAAATATACTAAACAGCTCACCTTGTGTATCGTCTGGAAGCGTAATTTTGTAAGAACCCTTTAACAGTTTCTTCATTTGTTCTAGACGCAGCCATGTCCATGCTTTTCTTCACCGAATATAGATATATAGCATCCTGGACAAGATAAGCACCTAAAGAAATAGAAATGGGTCGCGTCACAAAACCAACATAGTGCATTTGCGACCAGCATGGATCCAGACCAGCCTGTGCATCCGCGCAGTCTGATCAGGATCCATGCTATTCGCTATCAGTTTATCTACTTGTAAAAGGGTTGGTAAGCGAACAGCATGGATCCTGATCAGACTGCGCGGATGCGCTGGCTGGTCCTGATCCATGCTGGTCGCAAACGCACTATGTTGTTTTTTTTTCGTGACGCGTCTCAAATATTAATAATAAATACCAAGGCTACATTAGCCCTGGTGTTTTATCGGCGCTCTATTCTAAAGCTAATTTAAGTAACTGAGTACTCTATATAGCATTGTGGTGTTCATTTAAGGCAAGGCAAGCCTACCCTACGAGCAAATAAAGAACGTTGTTTTCATCATTTTCGTGTGGTTATATATGTAGACATTTTAAAAAGTACATATGTCTAAATATCATAATTTAACTTCCCTTAACAATTACAACAAACGGCTATTTTAGCCCGTTACAAGATAACAACAACAACAACAGCGACAATAACAGAATGCAATAAAGAAAATATTTTTATTGATGGTATATCAAAAGTTTAAGGGAAGCCAGTGTATGTTGTATATAAGAAGCATCATACCAAATTCAACGGGATCGAGCGTTACATTACTTATAGCCTTGACGAAGACGGAATCTAGGGCAGCCTGGCGTTCATCTTTAGTCTGATCCCAAAGGTAATCGGTTAACTCTTGACCTTCAATCAGGAATCCGTGAACCGCAAGTCCAATCAATAAAGATATCAGAAAAGTATTCATTTCTAAGCACCTGGAAAGTAGGTTTTGAAAACACTTTTATAACTTTACATTTAGTGTTAATTAATTAATTGATACGAAGAAAAATCATTTAAACTTAAAAAATGTTAAATCACTAATTAGCAAAATAGAAGAGCATTTTAAACAAATAAAATGCTATCGTTTACAATGGCAAAAAGCAAAGTTTAATGAAGTTTTGCAGATAAAAAGTTGAACAAATATCTTAAACGGATGATGTTATGAAGTTTGTTAAAACGTATCTATTAAAAATATTACTTTAATAGTGCAAGTATGATTGTTTGTAAATTGTTAGACTGAACCACTTAATATTTAACAATAATAAATCATGAACTGACGCAAGTACTTCATTAATTCTTCATGTTCTATTCTTCTATTCTTTCAAAAAATGTTTATAAATGACAACAACGGTGATAACCTCCACCACTACTGTTATAAATGAACGATGTTAAAATTTTTGTACTATAATGCTGCTTGTCGATATTTTGCGTTTAAATAAAAAGAACAGAAATTATTATTCCGTTTAACTGTGACCGTGTTATTTTTTTTACCAAGTTCGGTAATTTACAAGATAAACAGACTGGCTAGTATACATGTATATTGTATTGATTCCTTTTAAACTTTTATCAACGAGCGCCTATTCAATGATTCAAATATGGTTGATATTAAATGGACAATATAAAATTTAAAACTACATAGGGGTGCCAGATAAAAGCTATGTATACGCTACAATGCCTCACTGTAAAGACTTTGGTCAATAAAATATTACAATACTGTCCACACTCGCATGATTTACCTTTTTTGAAGTGCACTGCAAATAAATTAACTTCACCAGTATTATGTGAATATTTATAAACTTTTCGTCTTAGCTTTGTTACCACCAAAGTAAACACACTACATTACTAAATCGAAACAATCCTCTTTACTTTTGCTTTTACTAATTGTTCATGGTTAAACATATTAAACTACGCAAAATATAAGTACAAATACATGTATAACAAAAACAACATGCAAACAACATGCAAACATATATGATTACTATCTAGACAGGCATAAAGTGTTTTATGAGTTCACAAGCCTAAATTAAGCGGGCTATTTCCAGAAGCATTTGCTACTTGTATTTAAATTACAATAAGTAAAAGAACATTATTGTTTTTTTTTTAAATGAAAATCATACCTTATAATTCACTTCCCCGTTTTATACAACTCTTAACCCCCGAACGCTTGCTTGTTACATTATTTTGCAAATCCTGGTCATAAAGTGGTTGGTATATAAATAGAATGTGTCTTAGTAAACACAGTATAAAATGATTAATTGCGACAGATCTGCAAAATAAACAAGAATTATTTGAAATTTTATTTGGAAGATTGAACGCATGAACTTGCGACTTTCTGTTTTATATATGGAATGCGACTTAAACACCCCTCAACAACAACAACAACAACAACTGAATGATTTTTCCCCAAACCATCGGTCATCTCATGTGCAAATTATTTGAAATATTTAGAGTATCTGCGACTGAAAATCATACAGATTCACATGAATATCTTAAAAAATTATTATCATTATTTTAAATGACATTTAAGTGAAAGTATGTGAATAGGCACGGATATTCTGTTACCTGATTAACGTTAATATTTGCCATTTAATAGGAGCTACCATCAAAGTTTAGTTGTTGTATAAAGAGCATTGCGCAAGAGTAAGTACTAGAAAACCGCGCTCCTTTGTCGTCTTTTCACTCTCGCGAGGCTGACGAGACCGATATTATGACTTGAAACACAAAACCTTATTTTCAGACTTTAAAAAGATCATTGGTATTGTAACATAAGTTGAAGAATCCTCTACTTTAAAGTTACGGCTAAAATGTAGTAGATTAAGTATATTACAGGACTCCACAAAGGTTGAAACCAAAGTTGTTCATAATAATAACCTAGCAGCCTAGAAATATTTTTTTTTATTTCCGGGACCATTTGATACTGTGTTTGTCGTTAGCTCTTAATGGCGTCGAATATGTTTAATGGGTGCGGGATGGGGGATGGGGATTAAATTCATGTTTCTATTTTATGATGAAATTAATTTATGTTTCAAAATTGAAATTGTATTATTTAGATCTCCATAATTCTTATCTAAAACTATTTTCGCTAATGTAATAAGTGTGGATAAATAGTTAATTAACAGGATATAGAAGCGATTGAACAACGGATGCATATATTATTGGACAAAACTGATATCTGTTAAAATCAGTCGAATCGGAAAAGTTAAAACACTTCCATGTATATCAAATTGAAGTGTAAATACGAGATATGCCCATAAAGTTCATGGACACAAATCAGATGTAAAATATGTAACAAATATAATTATGTTCATATCATAGCAAATTTCTGATATTGTATTTGGAAAAAAATGATAACTATGCTATTAGTATTTATATCTACATCTTTTCTCACAAATGCAAACCGTTATTCGTCTCCACAACGTTATGAGCTAACGTAAGGTTTACTAGAAGCAAATGAAAGTAATTACGTCTTGTATTAAATGGATTTAAAATGTTTCTTTTCTAAATACTGTATTTTTAACGATTACTTGTCAATTTCAGTAAAATTTGCTGTCATATGTTCTTACGACCGTAGAACGTACATTTCAAGCTTTTTCATCATCTGCATGCCGAACGCCGCTTTGTCAGTACTTATCCAAACCCCTTCATGTCTGATTGTTGAATTTTGCCGAAGCCGGTGATAGGGGGTATGGGCAGTAGCCCGCACTTTCCATTACTGTCCATGAACAGACGCAATCAAACCGAACCTATATCATTTGGAATTTTGTCGTTATCGATCCCGTTTTTCTCTATTTTAAATCATAATAAACTACTTTGCTACTTTTTAAGCAACACTAAACCTTTTTCTTTCCTCACTGCGTACATGTACACACTTTAGTAAGATACCTGTTTATAAAATGAGAGGTCTTTAAATCATGTTAATTGTTTAGTTTTGATTTTATTTGTTCTTTTGAGTGAATTAAGTATGTTGAAAGGCTTGAAATAAAAATTACATGTATAACCATTTAACTTACACCGTATGGAAGACTATTACTGCTGGCAATGACTATTTGCATTTATCACAGAAGAAAAACAACAACAAAAATTAAACATTTTAAATGACTTGTTCTTTTATTCTCATATTCATTTTATTTCATTATATACAGTCAAATGTCTCTCTCATTTCCAGTACAATTATAAAACATATGGAAATAAGATATTTACAGTACTAGTTATGTTATATATACAGTTTTAGTAAAACAATGTTTAAATAGTTTCCTTGTATGCAGTTCTTGACAAAATGTAACAAATAAATTGTACAACAACAACAACAATCACATACATGCCACACACAAGGACAATTAATATATATCTCGGGGTGATATTTAGTCACGATATCTGTCAAACAATGATTAAATGTAAATAATTACAAAACCTTCTAAACATTCCTCGTTAGTTGATTAATCCTTGATGGAATTCACTGTCATCCAATGAGTAAGATTTGAATGATACCATCGGTTATTTCATTTTGACATAAAAGCTGTATTGAATGATAAATGTAAGGCTATGAATGATAAATAGAACTGATAATCTATGTTTAGAACAATTAATCAAATGTTTAATAATTGAGTGTTGATATTGCTCTCATGATGTTATGAACACGTTGATATTTTAATACAGCCTTACGGAGCATTACTACAAAATTTAGAGAATACCAATAAAACTGACTGGTAAAGCATTTTTTAGTGAATAAATCTTTATGTAGAGGGATGTCTTGCAAGTAAAAATAATGTCGAAGGTTTAAGTACGCCTGGTACAGTTTTCCTCCCTCATTTTTTTACAAATTGCACGTTGATATCATAAGATACGGACACCAGTCTAATATTGATGATTTAAATCTAAATCTTTCAGAAATCACAATACATAATAACAAATTTAAAAATAGGTCAAATAAAGACACGGAAATTTGCAATAAATCAAAATCCACGTTCGCCTTCTTTTGTCATTTTCATGTTCCGTGTTCATAGCAAATTTTGATTTTGTCTCGCGTGCGAGACCGTTTTTTTCACTGTAATGTCATCATTTAAGGTCATATGCTCATTATCCTCATAACATATAATACAATTTTCTCTATACATTGTATTTAATTTTGTAATGATGATGAATCCGTATTACCTCTAATGTTACTCATTGCGCTTTTATTAACAGTTTGTTCGTGGTCCTTTCCCGTAAGTATTGATTTCAGTGTCCGTCTATTAGCAACAAATGCAATGAAGAGAAACACCCCTTGAGAAGCATTGAGGATTATGAATATATAATCGAAAGCAGCGATGTTTAGAAAGTAGTTGCAAAAACCGAAAACCCAAGTGCATCCCGTTAAAGTCGAAAGTTTGGCATAAATATGTAAAAACTGTTGTCTATTTGTATCATTTTGAACTTTTGAAGTTTTCCTCATCTGCAATATAACTATAGTAAAAAGTATAATATTTAACAGAATAATAACAGCTACCGGTAAAGCAAACAAGAACGCTACCATGTGCCCTTGACTTATGTAACATAATGTGCCACCATAGCCAATATCAAGTCCATCACTGCTAATTTGCGATACAATTACATTTGTTCCTACGATGAATAAAGAACATGCAATACATATTGAAACATAAACCATTGTTGTTTTCTGAACATTAAACACAGCAATCTTTGTTTGACTTAATCTGAACACACGGAACATGTGAATACAACAGGAATTCATCCAAAACATAAGAAACAACCAGGAGAAATGGACAAATGCACCAATAACTTGACAAGATAATTTTGAAACATTACACGACTGTCCGCTGCCAAATTGATACAGAGATTGTGCAGTTATCAAGGCAAGACAAAGAACTATGTTGTTTACTCCAGGTTGCGTTTTAAACTTTTTAAATTTTAGGTAAACTAAAAGAGTAACGATTGAACAGAAAATACTTATAGTTGTGCAAACCAAAGTTAAAATGGTTTTGGCAGAAAATGTTTCTTCACCACAAGTAGTCTGTAAAGGTTTAAGTGTAGATTTTTTCATAGCATTGAACGGTTGAACAATACGGTCAAATAAGCTTGTGCACATACGAATTGAGAATGATTCCCCGCCGGAATTTGTTTCAATATTAATTTCTTTTAAGTCAACAGTTGTATTGTATTCTTCAATAGCAATATACTCAGTATATCCAACAATTTTAAGTTCAGTACTATTTATCTGAACCGAGGGACACATGTAAGGAACACTAAGTACTATTAATGGGTACCTTTTATATTTTGGTGGAATATCTTCAACAAATATTTCATTTAGATCATCTACATATTTATAAAACCGATCACGTGTAACAGAACCAGCTTTGCTCTTGTACTGATCTACTTGAACGTGATATCTGTTGACAGTTCCGTTGTAAAATGGAGATTGAGTTGTGAGAGATGTGTTGTCAAATGACAGCAGTTTGTCTACTGTATCTGGTTTTATGGTACTTAATCGTCCGCACGACATTTCAACGTATAAAACAAAATATTGTACATCAAATTGTGTACTGTTATTTAGAGGGTAACCTTCATTCACAAAGTTTATTTTTGTATATACCTTAAAAGAAAACATACACTTGTGTTCAATGGTTTTATTTATCAATGAGTTTATTTTTTCTTTGATTTCTTTTGCAATAGTCCGTAGTACTGTAAAGGTATCTCCTTCAGATTCCTGTAAAGGTGTCATCCTCAGATATAAACCAAACTCAATCCCTGCTAGACTATCAACAAGATTAATGCACTTCCCATTTTCTACCGTCCTCGGGAATAAACATTCTATGTCTCTGCAAAGATTCTGGAAATGAACAATGATTTATGAAGACGATTGCAAATACAAGAAAATAATTATTAATATCAAACTAAAATGTCGTTAATGTTCGGCTTTCAAGGTAAATATGCTCATTTTGTCGTGTAATTATGTGCAAATCAGCAGTAAAAGTGTCTACAAAACATCATTTGAATGAATATCTTTACGTTACGCTTGGTAAAATACATGTAAAACACATGAGAACTATCAATGTTAATCAGTTTAATTATATGCAAATATATCAGTACTCCAGGTATGTACACATTTATCCATTAAGGTAAATAATAGTTAATAATGTTAACGCGTTTCAAAGAACAAGCAATCATCTACGCCAAAAATTTTAAAACTGTAAAAATATGACTAATATTATTATTAATAATATGACTGGTATGAAATATATGCATTCAATAAAAAGAAAATTCAACGTTTTATTGTAAACTGTTAATAACAAATAACAATTGATCGTTAGGTTCAATCCTCAACCAGCCAAAATTGTGAAATTTAAACATACACATAACCCAGGCTTAAACCAGAATCATCATAAAGTTGCTTACCTTCAAAGGATCATACAGCTGATTCTGTGAGCATGTCAATTGAGATTCTAAACCTGGCGTCGTAGGACTAAGTTCGGGTTGAAATTTCAGAAGCGCGACAAAATCGACAAAAACATGTGGCCGCGGTGTTCTACTGCAGTAGTTGACACCAATGGTGTCTTTTGTATTGCACAAGTAACAGAATACATTTCTGTATTTGAAATTGTAGATGGTGGAATATGCTAGACAGGCTGCTTCTAACACAGAGTTATACGTCTGCCAATGCCCTGTAACATTGCATTGTGAAATAACATCTTGACATTGATAAAACGGTCCTGTAATGCCAAGAGATTGTGGCCTAAAATATTTTAGATTGCAACTCTCTGTTTCTAAAACTGTAGTAATAACTGAGCCGATATTTCGTGGTTTTAATATTCTTCTTAAACATTCCAGTGTAACTTCCCAATAGTGTAAGGTGGTTACCGAAACATTGTGGCAAAGTGCACAAAAACGATTTTTGTAAATGATCATAGTTGTATTATCTGTAACAGGGATTTTAGTTTCAATGTCTTGATAGTTATCCGATTGTTCACATTTATTCACAGTCTCTAAATCTACAGTGTTAAACCTTGGACATTCTGTATACATTAGAACTAGTGTGTCAACGTTCGGATAGATTAACTCTATATAATTATAAGGTCGTAGCTGCGGATACACACAAGACATCACTACGTCTGTCTCTTTAATTGGCCATAATTCTTCTACTGCTTCAATACAACAAGAACCAGTAGTGGAGCAATTGTCAATATCACATGAGCATTCTTCACAACATTCATGACCCGGTCGTACGGGTGGTATTACAGGTAAATTACTCCAAATTGAGGCAAAATCTGTGGAAGTTTCCATCGTTGTCGTGTCCGACTGTCCCAAAAGAAATTCCGGAATGGCTGGGTGATACAAGCATGTATTTTGTCCTTCACAAAACATGTTTTGAATTTTCTTAAGCTCACTTAAATCAGATAAAGTTAAGTCACGTTTCATTGCAACTATCAAATGAATAGTTAGGTAGAAGTACATAAATGGCAACTCCATGGTAACCATTATATATTCGTCTGACTTTTTAGTTCTATGTGTCCATTTGTCTCCGTATTTGTAAATTGTCGAGAAGATAACTTTGAAATTAAAATTGAAATATTAGTTAAACACAATAATATCACAATAATGTTTTTGAAATTAAGTTTGTTTTTAAAACTCACAAAAAATAAATTGAGTTAAAAAGAAATATTATTTTTAAGCGTGTTGCTTTGTGGTTTGCTAATCAAATATTATACAACATGATTCAAATATGCTATCTTATTCATAGCGCTATGAAATTGTTGTTTATTTGATGTAAATCCTTTTCCGTAGTTGCCGTAGTGAAACTACAATCAGTATTATAAACACACTTTTATATTTGAGCAGTAATTCATTTAATGGTCAGATGAAGCCTATACCCGAGGGAGAACAGCATATCAGTACAATAACGCAATCAGATTGTCCTGAAACAATCGTAACCTTAGGCTATTGTCAATGCTCAGCGGAGAAATTAGCAAATTGATTCATACATGATTTGTTAATGATATCACACAAACGAGGATGTACCCATAAACATAAATAACTTTATACTGATCTGTACCAGAAATATCGTTTGATATATATTTATTAGTTTAGTTTTATTAGATAACCAAAGACATATCACATGATTTAGAATCCTAGTAAAATTACATTTGCGGAAATCAAGCAATCGAGAGTCAACTTTTATTAAATTAATATATATACACAACATATCTTGAAGATAAAAAAACATATTTTTTTATAATTCTGTCATTTTGTTATAATACTTAATATTCATGTCCATTTGTTAATAACATCCAAATGGAAATTGCATGAATGGTGTTTATATCTAAAAGGAGCGTTTGTCAAAACAATCACATTATGTTTTATGTCTTATGTTTTAGGACCAAATATAAATTGACAAATGAAATAGTTGTTGTTATGGTTTGATGATGTTGTTTTTTTTGTGTGTTTTCATTTATTTTTTAGAAGGTAAGATATTTTATTTTTTTAAGGATGGTATACCTGCATGTGTTACCTTCTTTAAATAAACATATTATTATTATATTATTATGATGGTGTTGATGATGATGATTATTATTGTTGTTGTTGTTGTTGTTGTTGTTGTTGTAAGTATTATAAAGAAATTTATTTACATATTCTCAATGTCTGTACTGTATACGTTCTGACAGAATCATAATTTCTTGATAGTCCGGATATCTATTGAACAATATGTATAAAGTTTGATTGTTACAAAATACGAGAATGATTATTGTTCACTACCACATTTCTGTAAAATACGTTTTACAATTATAGTAAATATTCAAAATTGGATGATTCCCTTTTCTAATTACAATAATTTAAAAGGGAGATAGTCCGTTCTGAAATACATGACAGTCAATAAACTAAATTTGTCTCCCTTGTATCACATAGCCTATAGCTTACTTGAACTCTAACTGCGTTGTTTCTCTGCTTTAAAAATGTTGTCAGTCAACAACAAACAGTTATTGGTTTTATTGCATTATTGCTAACCAACGTGCCTTTAGATATGTTCAATAATAATTATTTCTGGGCGAGGTGTTGCCTTTAATGGTTGAGGAATAAGATTTCTAATCCTTGCATGTTTGTATGAGGCGACTAAATGGGTTCGCATAACTAGAGTCTATGCAATTCTTAGCTCCAGCAGGTGAGGTTGTTTTGAACCCCGAGGTAAGCCAAAATCATAGTTCCTGTTTTGGCGCTATATGGGCTATACTGTGTTGGTGCGCCGAAAAAAAAAAACATGTACAAAACGACCCGAGAGAAAAAATACTGCTTTACACTCGTATCGATTACGATACGATCAAATATTTAGTTCAAATCCTGCAAGGTACTTGATAAAAGGGTTTTGAAGAAGTATCTTTTATCTTGTTTTTTTGTTTGCTTTCGTCGATTTTACTAGTTCAGATCTCATTAGATGCGAACGGATCACACCTGACGAAACCGCACCACGTGAGACCCTATCCAAGCTAAATCCACTCGGGCAAAATCAGGTTCCAGAACAAAATTCACCTATTACTAGAAAATGTATTGACGGACTTCTTCATTTATTGTGCCCATGTGCCATTGGTTTATGGAACATTTGTGTGGCATGTTCAAATATCACGACAACATGATTTTACAATTTGACTAATTTAGAATTATCATGAAATACAATATATTCGAATTAGCACTTGTCAAAGAAAGACGTATGATTCTGTCTGGAATGAAATTATCTGGATAAAATAATCGACAATGTATTTAAAGATGATGTTATAAACTGATATAAACGATTTAGTAAGTTTCACTTCATTACGATACATATACGTTAGATATAAACCGTTTACGACGCGTCCGTTGCTAAGAGGTAATATTGTCTCGTGCTTGCACAATCTGCGTAGGGCAAAAAGAGCATGGTAGTAGTTCATAGACAATAAGGTAAAATGAGAAAGTTATATAAAATAGCTTTTAACAAAAACACAAAGGATGCTTTTATATATTTGTGGATAAGATTGCCATAAAATGGCATGAAAAAGATGATTGTTTAAGAATTCACCCTTTATATCACGGACCTGGCACATAAATAACGTAACACATATGAATGCACGTCACACTATTTGTCATTTCACAAAATCAATAAACATTGATAAGATTGGTACATGTATATGTAAAATAATTACTTGATTAGCCATGTCATGGTACTAAAAAGTTCCGGTTGAATGATGTTATAAACAAGCGTACAATCCAATATTGTGTAAGATAATAATTTCTAACAGGACCCGCATTGATAGAAGAACCGAAAGTGTATGCTTGATAACATCACTGTTTGTCCTTCGGATGTTCATCATTTTATCACTCGGGCTACCCCCTCGTGATATAATTCGTCGCATCCGAACTCAAAACAGTGATGTTATTGAGCGATAAAATTATTTCATAAATACAGGAATATAAACATCAATTGCAGAAAAGGGATATTTGCTCATAATACGTATTAAAAATATCTTCATTGCACTGACCCTTTTAATTTCTTGATGATTTTACTAACGATATTTACCTAATCTAATCCAAACACAGGTACATGTATTACACTAATCAATTCTTTTTCTAATGTTAGGGATTGAAAAGAATTCTTTCCATCTCTCTACGTAGCAACTTTAGACCTTTACTGGTCACATAGCATGTCTGCCAGGGACGACTGCCGGATGAAAAAGAAGATAACATACAAATGAGAAGCATGTGTAGACAATGCTTATCTTTTTAAATTTTAATGAGATGTTTTTAAAGTAAAACATGCAATAGAAAGAGCATCGAAACACAAGGCTGTCTGTACGAAGGGATCTAGCACCCGGGTATAAAACAATTTGCAGAGAGTTTTGATGGCCTTTCTCTTTTGTATTAATGGCAAGAGTAAAAAACACGATCCCCGTTGTCACAGTATGAAACCAAAGAAAAAAGTAACACATGTACCTAACTGGCATTTAAATATGACGTTTCTATCGTTATCTCTTTCCCTGTCGTCGCAATAAGTAAACCCCAGATAGAATATAGCCAATCAACGAGTTTGCTCTATTTGTAAGGCTGACAGGCATTGCACTGTAACTGGGGTGCGGTTAACTTATACCTGCTCCCTAGTTAACGCATCGTGCATGTATGGATGTATAGAATTTATAGATTTAACTCTGATACAACAGAAAGGTCTAGAAACTATGAAATAATTATATTTACAACGTTGATAGGGATATCTTTAGAACATATTTAAGCAGGTCATCATTTTCATTATGACTCCCCGTCTCTTTTGATATAAAACTAATTTTCCGATAAATATACACGTTAAACAGAATTGAGGTGAAGTCATCCGTGCTTTCCTTTTGTGAGGGGGCTTCCTTTATGTTTTAGCAGACACTACTTTAAATTTCAATTACAATACGAATATGTTTATTTTAACAGAGAACAAGATCAGATTTTACAATGTTGGGACGATTCTATTGATGATCTCGTACAACCCGATTACTATAAGACATGTAAAACACATATTTTTCAAAGAATATCTAAACATGCTAATAATTAACATTTTACTTGACACATAAATTATCATGTTTTCTGTTATGTTTTCATTACTTAGAAATAGAAACACACATGATTATACACGGGAACTAAATAAAAATGACCGAAAATGTTGGCAAAAATTTTTAATCAGAATTATGTTGTCCTTTAAATTCTGAACCCAATGCACATCTTATAGTAGGCAATACTGCCCGAAGTATGTTTATTTGGTATCTAATGTAAAAGTTCTCTTTTTAGAATGTTTACGGTAATTCCCTCCTTAAAGGCCAGACCGGATCTATTGTGGTGTTATGTGTTCATGACTGTCTTTTGTCCTTTTGTTATGGTTGATTGAACTGGTTTTTCAAGTTGAGTGATGGATGATTGATTTTGGAATGAAAGTTATCTTTAGATGATTTGGTTCTTGAATGTAACATTTCTTGGTAACATGTATATATCTTTTTAATATTTTTATCATTAAGTACTGGATAAATTTGAAAATAAACGACCTTTGATAAATCCTAGATCGTATGATAGATGTTTTAGCAATAACATCTAAACTAACATCTTATATGTTTTAACGGTACTGACATATTTATCATTGTTATGTATCTGAATTTTGTCATCATTTTTCAATGCCATTGTAAGAACGGACATGTATGAGTCTATGGTGTTTTTTAATTTAGGGCCAGAGCGTTTTCTCTGAAACCGAAAAGCGCGGCAATACGACAGTACGGTGGTGAAAGTACCACAGTACAATGGTGACAATACGCCAGAAAGACGGACCATCGATCGCTATCGTACTGTCGTATTGTCACCATCGTATTGGCGCTCTTCGCCATTGTACTGTCATATTGTAACCATCGTAGAGTCGTACTTCGCGTTTTTTGTTCTCATGGAAAACGCGCTAGCCTTAATGGAACATTGTTTGATTCAGACAAAACAAAACAACAGACTGATATTCAACATTCATGCGTCAACAGAATTGAATTGGAATCTAGTTTGAGCCGTTGAAGACCATTTCT